TCTCTCTCTCTCTCTCTCTCTCTCTCTCTCTCTCTCTCTCTCTCTCTCTGTGTGTGTGTGTGTGTGTGTGTATGTATTTGTATATATTTTTTGTAGAACTGTATCTCCTTAAACACAGCTATATATACTCAGAAGCCTGGAGGCAGAGCTTTAACAAAGGGGGTCAAATCCTGTTCAGATCATGAACAGGATTTTTTTCCGGAGAGACTGTGCTTGTGGAACAGGAGGCCAGATCTGCCTGGGGTCAGCATCTGTGGGGAGGACTGCTGCTGCCCAGGAGGTTTTCCAAAACAAGATAGTTTAAAAACAACTGCCATGACAGTGCCTGACTGTAGTCCCAGCTTCTTGGGAGGCTAAGGCAGGAGGATCCCATGAGCCCATGAGTTCAGGACTCATGGGCAACAAAGTAAGACCCCATATAGGAGAGGGGAGGGAGAGACAGAAAGAGAGAGAGAGAGAGAGAGAGAGAGAGAGAGAGAGAGGAGAGAACAGCAATAAGAAAAATTTAGATGATAGTTTTTCGTTTATAACACCACCATCAAACCTTTATCTTATTTTAATTTTTCCCCCAAATAAGCTGCCTTTGTTAAAATTACTGAAAACTGAAATGCATGAGATATAGCGGTCCTGACCTAATCACACCCATGTAATAAATGTTCCTTCTCTTTTGATGCCGTAACTTGGATCTCAGAAGTCCAGTGGCCACAGACTTGGTGCATCCTGTCTCCACCTTTGGTATGAACGTAATACCAGCCACTGAGTATTTCCACGAAGGGAAAGTAAGGCTTGTCAGTGTGTTCAAAAACAAAAACAAAACAAACAACCAGCTCAAGAGCAAGGCGCGAGTTTCTCCATCTGGAAGTTAACTTTCCCCTGAAAGAACTGCATTCCATGGCAGAAATCCCAAGGGTTTAAAGAGTCAATTGAGTAAAGATGACCTTGGCAAAAATCACCCTTGGTCTCTGTGTGTCAAAACTGCAGTTTCCAAACTCTTGAGAGATTAATAAATCTTTAAAAAGAGGTTGAGGTGTTTGGAGCTTCGAATTCCGAATGGGAATTGTGGTGTGAGCTCTGGACTCCGGCTGCAGGATGAAGGCTACGGTTTGGTGATGTGCACTTCGCTGTTCCCGTTCCCGTTGGTGGTGGTTGTGATGATGTACTGTGTGGTCTGCTGCTGGCTGGGGCTCGTGGAGTCCAGAGAGTCACTGTGTGCAGAGGGCTGAACTTGGACTGCCCCGGAGAGAGCAGAGGCTTGCTTTTCCTCCAATTCTGGCTGGCTTTCTGATAACACATAATGACCCTAGAGCAGAAGAAAAAGATCTTTGAAAAAACTGGGGTATGGAAGAGAGCGAGGAAACTACTATAAGAGAGGAGAATCACATGTCCAAAGCATGCTACAAGTGAACCTAACAGGTGTCTTTGAGAGATGCTTGACCTACGACCTTTGTGGAGGATGGATAGGCCACAGGCTACAAAAGTAGTTCAAAGGAACACCTCTGCTGTGTCAACAGATAACACAACAAGGAACCTTAGGTATGGACATTTGCAACTTGGTGACACTTGGCTAGGCAAAAAAAGTTTTTTAAATTAAAAAATAAAATAAAAGATGCTCTTTAAAAGTTGCTCCTGAGCGTTTAGAAATTTGTTTTGTCAGTCAAGTGTTAAAATTCATCCAAAATGAATTGAAAACTTCATAAGGTCTCTGTAAAAGGGTAGACTGGTATCAAAGATAGGTCTTCAACATTAATGGTTCCCAGATAATAGAATTTCAAAGCCCAATAATATTTAAAATAACACTAGTGGGGCTAGGGAGATAGCTCTGTCAGCTAAGTCTTTGCCACAAAAGCATAAAGAGCTGTTCAATTCCTAGAACTGGACCCACCCACAAAAGGCGTTCTGTGCCCCAGTGTTAGGGAGGGAAATAGAAGTAGATCCTTGGCTCCCAAAGAATCCTAAATTATATTTTTCCAAGTAAAGACATTTAGAATATACTAAAGTAAAGGCTAGAGAGATGGCTCAGCAGTTAAGGGCTTATGTCCTCTGTCCATAGAACAGAGTTCTGTTCCCCACACCTGTATCCTAGCTCCAGAGGATCTGATGCCCCCTTCTGATCTCCTCAGGTACCTGCGTTTACATACATGTATCCCCCATAGACAGGCAAAAGAGTCAGGGACAGCCCGCACTCCCACGGTTAGGAATCCCACAACTATAGCTATTCAGCACTAACATATGCAGAGGACCCGGATCAAACTCCTACCGGCTCCCTGATCTCTAATCCTTCCTTTCCTTCCTCCAAGAGACTCCCTGAGCTCGGCCTAACACTTGGCTGTGGGACTTTGCATCTGCTCCCATTGGTTGCTGGTCTCTCTGAGAACGATTGTGCTAGGTTCTAGTCCCAAAATTGCAGTCAGGACAAACTGTAGGTTGGAGGGTTGGGGGCTGGGTAGGTATCCAAATCAACTTGAGGCCTTACCTGGTTTCAGGAGATGGCCAGTTCAGGTCCCATGTGCCCCATTATTAGGAGTCTTTGTTAGGGCTACTCTCATAGATTCCACTGAGTTCTTGCTACGCTGGGTTTCTACCTCACTCCCAAAATGTTCCCCAATTCCAGTTTCTCCCAGCATTTTCTCTCCCCTCCCCCATCAGATCCTTCCTGTTCCCAACCCCACCCATTTTCAATCCACAGCTAAAGTCTATGCTATTTCCCCTTCCCAGGGAGGTCCTTCCCTTCCTCCTCCCCCTCCCTTAAACCTTTCTTGCTAGCCTCTCTAGGTCTGTGGCATTATCATCTTTTACTTTACAGCTAATATCCACTTATAAATAAGTACATACCATGTTTGACTTTCGAGGTCTGGGTTACCTCACTCAGGATGATTTTTTTTTTCTAGTTCCATTTGCCTGCAGATTTCATGAAGTCATTGTTTTTAACAGCTAATTAATACTCCATTGTGTAAATGTACCACACTTTCTTTAGCCACTCTTCAGTTGAAGAACATCTAGGTTGTTTCCAGTTTCTGGTTATTACGAACAAAGCTGCTATGAACACAGGTGAGCAAGTGTCCCTACGGTAGGATGGAGCATCCTTTGGGATGGATATAGCTGGGTCTTGAGGTAGACTGATTCCCAATTTCCTGAGAAACCACCATATTGATTTCCAAAGTGATTGTACAAGTTTCCACTCCCACCAGCAGTGTAGGAGTGTTCGTTCCCCTGGTGCACACGCTTGCCAGCATGAGCTGTCTGTCACTTGTGGTTTTCATCTTAGCTGTTCTCACAGGTGTAAGATGAAATCTCAAAGTCATTTTGATTTGCATTTCCCTAATTGCTAAGGATGCTGTACATTTCTTTGTTTCTTGGCCATCTGAGATTCCTCTGTTGAGAATTCTGTTTAGCTTTATAATCCATTTTTAATCAGATTATTTAGGTTTTTTTTGATGTATATTTTCTTAGGTTCTTTATATCTGGAAATTAGTCCTCTGAAAGATGTGGGATAGTGAAAATATTTTCTCATTCTGTGGGCTGTCATTTTGTCCTATTGATGATGCCCTTTGCCTTACAGATTGTCAGTTTCATGAGGTCCCATTTATTAATTATTGATCTTAAGTACCTGAGCTTCTGCTCAGTAAGTTATCTCTGGGCAATGAGTTCAAGGCTAGTCCCCACTTTCTCTTCTATCAGATTCAGTGTATCCAGTTTACATTGAGGTCTTTGATCTACATGGACTTGAGTTTTGCTCAGGGTGATAAATGTAGATCCATTTGCATTCTGCTACATAACAGTTAGATCAGCACCATTTATTGAAGATGTTTTCATTTTTCCATTGTAAATTTGGCTTCTTTGTCAAAAATCAGGTGTCTATAGATGTATGGATTTACATCTGGGTGTTTGATTCAATTCCACTGGCTAAACTGTTTTTATGCCAATATCATGCAGTTTTTACTATAGCTTTGTGGTAAGCTTGAAATTGGTTGATTCCTCTGGAAATTGATACCTCTGGAAGTTCTAACAGAATTGATTTAGCTATCCTGGGATTTTTGTTTTACCATATGAATTTTCAAGGTCTATAAAGAATTGTGTTGGGATTTTGATGGGGATTGCACTAAAACCATCTGGATCCAAGATTTTTTTTATTGGAAGACTTTTAATCACTGCTTCTATTTCCTTATAGGTCTATTTAAATTGTTTATCTAATTTTGATTTAACTTTGGTAAGCAGTATCTTTCAAAAATTTGTCCATTTCTTTTAGATTTTCCAATTTTGTGGAGTATAGGATTTTTGAAGTATGATCTAATGATTCTTTGGGTTTCTTTAGTGTCTGTTGTTCTATACCCCTTTTCTCTTCTGATTTTGTTAATTTGGATATTTTCTCTCTGCCTTTTAGTTAGTTTAGATAAGGGTTTCTCTATCTTGTTGATTTTCTCAAAGAACTAACTCTTTGTTTCATTGATTCCTTGAATTGTTTTCTTTGTTTCTATTTTATTAATTTCAGCCCTCGGTTTGATTCTTTTGTGCCATCTATTCCTCTTGGGTGTGTTTGTTTCTTTTTGTTCTAGAGCTTTCAGATGTGCTGTTAAGTTGCTAGTATGAGATCTCTCTAATTTCTTAGTACTATGAACTTTCCTCTTACCACTGCTTTCATTGTGTCCCACAAGTTTGGGTATGTTGTGCTTCCATTTTCACTGAATTCTACAAGTCTACAACGTCTTAGTTTCTGCTTTGATCCAGCAGTCGTTCAGTAGGGAGTTGTTTACTTTCCATGCTTTTGTAGACTCTCTGTTGTTGAAATCCAGCTTTATTCTGTGGTGGTCTGATAGGAAACAGGGATATTTCAATTTCCTTGGTCTGTTGAGACTTGTTTTGTGACCATATATGCGGTCAATTTTGGAGAAGGTTCCACGAGGTGCTAAGAAGGTATATTCTTTTGTGTTCGGGTAAAATGTTCTGTAGCTATTGTTAGGTCTGTTAGCTCCATTATTTCTCTGTTTCATTTTTATCTGGATGTCCTGTCCACTGGTGAGAGTAGAGTGTTGAAGTCTCCCACTATTAACATGTGGGGTTTGATGTGTGATTTAAGCTTTAGTAATTTTTTTTTTATAATGTGGGTACCTTATGTTTGGGGCATAGATGTTAAGAACTGAAATGTCATCTTGGTGGATTTTTACTTTGATAAGTAGGAAATGTCTTTATCTCTTTTGATTAATTTTGATTGGAAGTCTACTTCGATAGATATTATAATTTATACACCAGCTTGCTTCTTATGTCCATTCACTTGAAAAATCTGTTTCCAACTTTTTACTCTGAGGTAATGTCTATCTTTGCTGTTGAGGTGTATTTCTTGTATGCAGCAATGCATGCTGGTTTTGTACCCTTTTTGTAAGTCTGTGTCTTTTTATTGAGGAATTGAACCCATTGATATTAAGAGATATTAATGACCAATGACTGACTGTTAATGCCTGTGGTTTTGTTGTTCTTGGTAGTGGTATGTGTGTGTGTTTTCTTTTGTTTTTGCTGGTATGAAATTATTTATCATGTGTTTTCTTGGTTATAGTTAACGTCCTTAGGTTGGCAATCTAGCACTTTCTATAGGGCTGGATTTATAGATTGATATCATTTAAATTTGTTTTTGTCATGGAATATCTTGTTTTCTCCATCTATGGTAATTAAAAGTTTTCCTAGGTATAGTAGTCTCTCCTGGCATCTGTGGTCTCTTAGGGGCTGCAAAACATCTGTCCAGGCCCTTCTGGCTTTTAGAGTCTTTGTTGAGAAGTTGGGTATAATTTTAACAGGTCTAGCTTTATGTTTCTTGGCCTTGTAGCTTTTAATATTCCATCTTTGTTCTGTATGTTTATTTTGATTCTTATGTGGCAGGGGGATTTTATTTTCTGGTCCAATCTATTTGGTGTTCTGTAAGCTTCTAATACCTTTACAGACATGTCCTTTTTTAGGTTAAGAAATTTTTCTTCTGTGATTTTGATAAATATATTCCTGGGTTATTGATCTGAGATTCTTCTCCTTCTTCTATTCTTATTATTCTTAGATTCTATAATGATGTTTACATCTGTAGTTCCCATTAGCTTACCTAGATTTCCATTTCCATAATTACCTCAGTTTGTGTTTTCTTTATTACTTCTTTTTCCATTTTCAAGCCTTGGTTTCCTTCAACTGTTTGTTTCTTCTTGGCTTTCTTGGCATTCTTTAAGGGGTTTATTGATTTTCTCCAATTTTTTGTTTATGTTTTCCTTGGTTGATTTATTTATTTTAAGATTTATTTAGATGAGTATATTATAACTGTCTTCAGACACACCAGAAGAGGGCATTGGATCCCATTACAGATGGCTTTAGATAAGCCACCATGTGGTTGCTGGGAATTGAACTCAGGACCTCTGGAAGAGCAGTCAGCGCTCTTAACTGCTAAGCCATCTCTTCAGTCCCTTTCCTTGATTTATTTACAGTTTTTTTTTATTTCCTCTTTAAAGACCTGTATCATCTTCATAAAGTTGGTTTTAAGGTTAATTTCTTGTGCTTCAACTGTGTTCGAATATCCAGGTCTTACTGTTGTAGAAACCTGGGCCCTGGTGGTACCATATTGCCCTGGCTGTTGTTGATTGTGTTCTTACACTGGTGCTTAGGCATCTTGGTTGTCAATGATTATAGGTCTATGTACTGATTTCTGAGTTTGTCTTTGATGGATGGGTGTTTTATTCCTTGGTTTCTGTTTCTTCTTTGGTCTTCTAGTCTTTGTGACCTGGATATCTGGCAACTGGCCTGACCTCTGTCTGTCTGATCCAGTAGGGAGTCTCTGGAGACCTTGGGGGCTGGACTTCTGGGGGCTAGCTTGGCCAATGGTGCAGCAGGGGGTCTCTGCCAGATTTAGGAGGTGAGATACAGTGATGATGAGGGAAGTGGGGACTGGGTGTTACTGAGTGAGTGGAGGAGGTCCTCTGCTGGGCTGCCTATCTGTGGTTCCGGTGGCCAGTCGGTTTGGTCTCTGGTCCCACAGGGAGTCTCTGCCTGAGTTCACCTATCTTTTTTTCTGCCTTGCTTGGCCTGCACCAGTTTTTTCTGGCTTGTGTGGCCTGCACCTGTGCAGCTGTTCTTCTGACTGTCGTAGCCTGCACCTGGACAGTGGAAGTCAACCCAAGTTGAGGCCAGGGACAGTACAACAGGAGGAACAGCGTGGGATAGGACGGGGGGGTGGGGTGGGGGGGAAGACAGACAGTGGAATGGGTCTTTAGGAACTGAATCTAAGGAGTGGGGTAGTTCAGCTGGCAGGTGAGTGACATCTGACTGGCATGGCCTGCACCTGGCATATAGAACTTCTCTTAAGGCAGCCTGTGGCTCCATGTTTGTGCAAGCAGTACCCTATAGCCAGGTTTCCTGGCACCTCTCCTGACTTTGCCCCAACTTGGCAAAGTCTCAAATACACACACACACACACACACACACACACACACACACACACACCATAAGTAATTCATTATATTATTCCCTCCCAGCTAAAGTCTTGTAATATTTACAAGAAGTGCTAGATCTGGTAGGTTTGTTGTAGTTGAGAGCTGAATCGACATTCACTAAGGATATGGCGATAAAGATCCAGCTTTCAAATCATCAGCTGTGAGAAAACTGACCTAACCACTAACTAAAAGAAACAGGAGGCCTGGGAGGTAACTCAATGGTAGATGACCTACCCAGCAAGCCACCATGTATAAGGTCCTGGGTTCCAATTCCAGCACTTTAAAGGGAGGGAGAGTGGGAGGGGCGGAGGGAGAGAGAGAGGGAGGGAAGACGGATTATAACCAAGCTATAACACAGCCCTGGCAGAATGGCTTACCGGAGTCACTGCTTTCACTTGCCCAGAAGTAACAGGGGTTGCCACACCACTGTCTGTGATCACAAACTGACCTGGAGGCAGTGTCATCATTTGAATTTCAGATGCTGAAAACAGGAAATAAACAAAATTTAGTGGTCTTAGATTTTAGTGTAAGTGCTAGAAGAAACACATGCTTTTCTACCTATATTATGGGGCTATATACCAATAAACTCACCATAAACTGAAAATACAGTTAAGGGGAATACATTTAATACACATAAATTGCCAGGTATTATAATGTACACCTTTAATCCCAATACTAGGGAGGCAGAGGCAGGAGGGTCTCTATGAGTTCGAGGCCAGCCTTGCCTCCACAGTAAGACAGTCAAGGCTATAACGTAAGAATCTGTTTCAAAAAAAAATTTTTTTTCATATATAAATTACCAAGCATTATAGCTTAACCTATCCTACCCTCGGCATATTCATAACCTGTGTTTTAGCTATAAGGACAACCCTGACAATAAAGTAGGCTAGGCAGCTATATGCCTAGCTACTCAAGGCTAAAGGTGAATCAATAACTTGAACCAAGGAAAAGGCTTAAGGTGAATGGCCCAGAACAGCCAAAGCAACAAAATGAGATCACCGTCTGAATAGCAGAAGCCAACATGGTGTATGGTTGTGTTCTTGCCCCACAAACAGTAATCTTATGCTAAAAATCTCAAATCCACTGGGCCTGGTGGCACAGGTCTATTACCCAAGCACTCAGGAAGCTAACATAGAAGGATCACAAATTTGTTTTTTTCTTTTCAGATAGGGTCCCAGGTATCCCATCTTGAACATCTGGTTGCTCTGCCTCTCACTTCCTGAGACTACTGGTCACGTGGTGCCGTGCCCAATTTATGCTGTGCTATGAATTAAACCCAGGGAGTCCTGAATGCTACCAGCTGAGCTATATCCCCAGTCTGGGCTACATAGTGTCTTTGAGACTTGCCTGAGCTATATGGGACCAAAAAGCCAAAAGAAGAAAGACCCTCAGTCCTAAGCTTGAGGCCACCCATACCTGCCAATGCTCACATTCCCACTGAGAAAGCCCCCATGGTTTCCCACATTTGCAAGATCTTACAATGGTGTGATTGCTTTTACTCTCTCTATCTTTCTCTTTCCTTCTTTCTTTCTTTTTTGTTTTTGTTGTTGTTGTTATTTTTGTTTTTGTTTGTTTGGTAGCCATGACTGTCCTGGAACTAACGATGTAGACTAGATTGGCCTTGAACTCAGAGATCAGCCTGCCTCTGCCTCCCAAGTGCTGGGATTAAAGGTGTGTGCCACCATGCCTGGCTTGATGTGAATAGACCTCTAACAATAATTACATGTGTGTGAAGAGACTAGTAAAGAGGGATCATATAAGAAACAACCAATGCCTCCTCACTCAAAAGTGTCTTCCAAATAGTCACAAAGACAAATACTCAAACTTTTTAAACTTCGAAATGAGTTATAAAAGTTTACTTTTTCTAGCTTGGTATCTTTCATACTCAGATATGAATTCATGGCACAAATGTCTTTACAGCTGCCTAGGATCACAAGTGAATATGCAGTGGTAATATCCCACTAAAACAGAAGAGAGGTGAGTAGGAGATTGACTAATGCCAACTCAGGCAGCAACAGAAGGTAAGCCTGGGACACTTTGTCTTCCCAGCACAGGAAAGGGTCATGGGTGAAAGATGCAGGTGCCAGGGTAAACAGCCAAAGGTGAAGTAGGCTGAACATCCATAAAGGTAACAAATGCAGCAAGTCCAAGCACATCATGGTTATGTGTGTGTATAAACATCATGAGCACAAAATTATACTACGATACACATAACTACTAGCCATCTGGGATATTGTAACAGAAGGAAACTGTCTTACTATTTTGAGGTACAGTAAAATAAGTAATGAACCTTGGCATTTAAGGTATTTAATTCTGCTTTTCCTATGCAAGCTGTATCTTAATTTTATGATTACGACAATTTTTTCTTTTCTTTCTTATCTTGCTTTGCTTTCATTGTTATTTAGAGATCTTGTTTCACTATGTAGCTTTCTAACCTCAGCTAACTATGTAGACCAGGCTGGTTTCAAATTCACAGAGATTCCCCTGCTTCTGCCTCTGCAACTGAGGGCATGCTCTTGTTTGTTTGTGATAGCATTTTCTAGGTAGCCTTGCATAGCCTGGTAAGCCTCCTGCTTTCCAAGTACTAATATTATAGGCTAAGGTTACAGATATGTGCTTCACCATACCTGGCACAATTTTTTTTTCTTTATAAAACATTTCTACCTAATGAATGGGAATGACAGAACCAAATTAGAGTATCACAACTTTGGAAGTCCTGATGAGACAAAGAAGCTAGAGAATAAACACTAATGGCTTTGAGTATTACAGAGAGAGAAGTGGCCCAACCCTCGAACCAGCTGAGGCCCCTGGGGGAAAAGAACTGAACCCTGGTTAATCCTCTAGATCTAGTTGCCAGTCTACAGGAAACAAATAGAAGACAGTACATCAAGTGATGACATGGGGATACCACTGGCAAAACTCAGTGTGAGGACTACAGGACACATGGCCAGCTGGTCTCTCCAGCAGACACAGCAGCTGCATGGGGAGGGTGAGAAGATGTGGAAAGACAGTTGAAGATGCTGTCAGCTGCATGGATGGCCCTTGCTCAGCACCCAGTTCAAACAAGAAGCTCAAACACCTTTCTCAGATGATCAAAGGAAGATAAATTCTGATTGAGTATTGAAACTATATTTGACAATGTTAAAGAATTATTTCCATTTAACTTTAGACTGATCAATAGCAATAGCATGATTTTTTTCCCAATGTTTTGGGCTAGGTACATTTTGGGCTCAGTAATAGAGCAAGTACTTAGCCTTGTGTGCCAAAAAACAAACAAAAAGAGGTCTTTGTGGGGTTTTTCTTTTCATTTGTTCTCTTTTTAATGTTTTCGGTTGTTGTTGTTATCGGTGTGTGTGTGACTGTGTGTCTCTGTGTGTGTGTCTGCCCTGTGTGTGTGATACATACATGCATGCTAGAGCAAGACATCAGGTATCTGCCTCTGTGCCTCTATTACTTTCAACTTATCACTTAGAACAGAGTCTCTCACTGAGCTTGAAACTCACTTTTCACCAGGCTGCTGACCAGTGTGCTCCAGCAAGCTGACTATATCCACTCCTTAACAGGTGTGAGCCGCCATGCCCAGATTTTATTTGGGTACCAGGGATTTGAACTTAGATCTTCATACTTGTGTAGCAAGTATTTTCACCCACTAAGACATTTCCCCAGCCTCCTCTCCTTTCTTTAGAGACAAGGTCTCATGTAGCCCAGGCTGTCCTCAAACTTCCTATGTAGTTGAGGATGACCTTGAATGCCTGAGTCTCCTCCTCCACCTTCCAAGTTCTCGGATTTCAGGTATGCATCAGCATGCTCAGTCTCATTTTAGAAACATACTAAAATGTTTAGAGGAAAAGAATGTAATGAGGAAATTATCTAGTCGGGGTGGGGAAGAAAGGTAGGCAAGGCTGGGCAGGGCTTAGGAACTGCTGAAGTCAAACAGAGCGTACAGAGGGTTCCTATACTATGCTCTCTACTTTTCCTAATAAATCATTTCAGTTGCAGAATATTTTTTCAAGTTAAAATGCTAATTCCTGAAATGATTACAGTAGGTGTATATGTCATTTCATGTTTGTTTGTTTTTCTTTTTTTTTTCTTTCTTTCTTTCTTTTTTTTTTTTTTTTTTTGGTTTTTCGAGACAGGGTTTCTCTGTGTAGCCCTGGCTGTCCTGGAACTCACTCTGTAGACCATGCTGGCCTCGAACTCAGAAATCCGCCTGCCTCTGCCTCCCAAGTGCTGGGATTAAAGGCGTGCGCCACCACTGCCTGGCTGTCATTTCACGTTCTTAAACTGAGAATAGATCAAAGAGTCAGTCTTCTGCCAGGTTCTCTAGGTCACCTCTAAGTAACCTGGGGTACCTGTAAGTGACTTTCATCCATGCTCCTGTGGGCAACCCCAATACACTCATGGGCTCACCAAGCTAGATTTGAGCATAATAATTTCTGTCTGTTAGTGTCCTATCTGGAGTAAACAGACAGTTCTTCACACGTCTCTAAGGAAAGTCTCACAGCACAGCTGGCACCCGAAACAGGGATGGCAGAACTAAGGATGAGGTGAGAAGAGTGGCTACAGCACACTGGTCAGTGTGACTGGGGTGATCCAAGGGAGCCTGCATCTGTGGGAGCCATTCCAATATGGCTACCTTCTCCCATGACGTATGGGATGATGTGCCTCTTTGCTACAGTAGTAACTGTATATAGGTGAAAAGCTATATATCCAAAGCCAAGCTATTTGAGAGGGGAGAGCAGATCCCAGGAAGGTCCTCTTCCCCTACATGGTCTAGAGTAGCATATCTGATAAATGAGCTTTACCACATAAGTACAGGAATTCCTCCTTCCCCAAAGAGCTGATGTATTAGAGAATATATTACAGACCTTAAGTAACACGCTTGGGATAAGAGCATAAAGAGGTAGTGAAAACTGTTGTACGGTCTTTGCTCTGGGCAATGATAAGGCATATAGCAGGGGCTGAGCTGTCTGCCCAGAAGGAAGTTTCCCATGTAAGGGCAGAATTACAGTGGAGAAAAAACAAGTGCATGCTCTCCTCAGCATTCACCTCTGGTCTTATGGGAACGTGGGAAAGCAGAAGATGAGACATAGAGGAGGTGAAGTTGGCTTGCCATATTTTACAGCGGGTGGAATTCATGGGAAAGAAAATAAAAAACCTCAGAACCTGTGAGAAGAATTAAGACTTCAGGAAGAGAAAAGGATAGAACAATAGAAGAGCTCTGTGTTCTGACCTTTAGTGCAGAGGAAAAGATAATCTATGATTCAGCATGTGGGTGGGCAGTACGGGAAACTACAGTGACCAAGAATTACTCTGCCTCTGAACTGGCTGGGAGAGACTTTTACACAAGGAATGAAAGAGCCTGTGTCTTAGTCTGGCTCATGAAACTGTGGGCTGTGGGGGCAGATGGGATCCATCTGAGGGCTACAGACCAAAAAAAAAAAAAAGCTAAGTAATAACACTGTCCTTCCTTCCTTGAGACAAAGGCTGAATAATTCAAGACAAGGAAGGAAAATAGGTGTCTCAAAGACCAGCTCATACAAGCCACATGGAACTGGCTGGGGTTCCCATCAACACCAGGAATCAGAAGGCAATAGCGGAAGGACAGTTGTTACTAAGGAAACTGGATATGAGAGAGGTAGAGTTTGATACTCAGTTCACTGGGCCACATTCTACCGTGTTCATCAGAGAGTTAAGAAGTTAATTTAGCATGGGCTCTGGGACTGACATGATATTGATGAGGAAGGAACCTCTGGCAGATCTGAATGACCTAGTCCAGCAGACCCAGGAGCCTGTTGGGTCACTCAAATGCAAACGCACAAAGATTTGTGTCAAAGTGGCATTCCTAGGGAAAAAGTTGACAGTGACTCAAATTAGTGTTCGCGAGCCTGGAAAGTTGAAAGCCACAGCAGTTGCTCACAGAAGACATGATTTAAAAAAAAAAAAAAGTGAAAAAGATCAAGTTTGTTCTAGAGGAAGACTATTATCTATATAAAATATGCTACATAAATTGTTCACCTAAAAGAGAATACACTGGGGGAGGAGATTATCATGCAGCCACAGTGATGGCCTGTCAGAACTGGAAAGTCAGCTCAGTGGCAAGCATAGCAGGTTAGAGTGGGGTCCTGCTCCCCACTTAGGCCTGAACCATGGAGACGGATGGGACTGGGGACCCCATGCAGCAGCATTAACCCTGGAGAAGAAGGCTGGAAAAAATCTTTGTGGGTTTCCACTGAGGTAGGGAATCACTGTAGAACTCTATTGAAGGCAAATGGAGTATAGTGTCCTCCTCTCTACTGCTGCTCTTCCACAGCTGATGCCACGGACCGGATGTTTCATACACTAGACCTTTATAATGTTTCTTCTTCGTATCCCCTTAGTCACTCAAGAGCAATTCTTCATGTGATCAGTAACAGGCCTTAGAGCTCCTGTACCCCTTCCTCCCATAAAAAAAGGTTATATTATATTATATTACATTATATTATATATTATATTATATTTATTATATTATATTAAGGTTTTCTTTATTATATTTATTATATTATATTATATTATATTATATTATATTATATTATATTATATTATATTATATTTATTATATGAAGCTGAGCTGGAGTAGCTCACAGATTTGGAAAGCATCTTAATGAACATTAAAAGAGCAGTTGAAGTATCTGCATAAGGACAAGCTGTATGGGTGAGAAAAAAAACATTTTCTGGGAGCTGTAGATTATTGAATAAAAGCCCAGTATGAGTTCTTTGCCAGGAAGGTTCCTAGAGACCCACACATAAACTGTAAGGGTATTGCCACTACTATTACTTGCATGCCAAAAGTAGGTGGTAAGACCCTACTGCTTAAAATACTGTACTTCTTGCCTCTAGGGCACAGAAAAATGTGGCTGGCATAAGGTTGGAAGCTCCCAACTCTACTAGCTGGCTTTCACTGTTCTGACTGCATGTATGGCCCCCTACAATGGAAGGAACTTATGTCTGATATTATAATCCAGGACAAAATTGTGACTGGGGAGATCACTGACCTAAGTAAGGAAGTAACTATAGAAACAGATGTGATGTGTCTGTCAAAATGCTTTCAAACATTTGTGTTTATGCCCAAATATTTCTACTGCTGTCAGTCTCAGATGTGGGGGAAATCTTTTTTGCAGTTGCTAGTGGTTACTGCAGAGAATTTACACTCCTCAGATTAAGTGACTATTGGTGCATCACAGTGGTGCAGTGCCTCAGCAATAAATGAAAGAAAATAATAAGGCATCTCTGTCACCCTCTCCGAGACTCAGGAAACAAGGTGGAAAACAGGTAGTAAGAGCATAAGAGCTGGTCAAAGGCCGAAGTGATGTGTAGCCATTTTCTCTTTTCTGGTGACATAAGGGAGACTCGTTAGACTTCGAAAGCCAAGGAAACGCACAAGGCTAAAGAAGTGTGGTGGTTACAAACTCACAGGGCCTCTCCTCTAAGTTACAAAAGCAGTGAAAATTGCTAGCAAGAAACTCTCTCCAATAGAGCTGACTACAAACTGGGCAGAGAGTTCCAGGGCTCCAGTTTTTATGAGTTGTCACCATGCTAAAATGGGCATTTGGTGATGCAGGTGCTTCAAAGTTCCCTGTAAGTAACCAGGTAGCCATCCTCCTGCAGATAATCTGAACAAACTCATTGGTTCACTAATCTAGAGCTGGGTAGAATCATTTCCTTAAGCTGTTGTTGGTGCCCTATCTGGGGTGAATAGTAGTTTGTTCATGTCTCCCCAGGAGAAGTTACAGAGTAGCAAGCAAGAAGTTATCAATTCTCACCTCTGACTGCCAGCCAGCCTGTTCACACTTCCCGAGCATAAATCTGAGGATTTCAGAACATACTACTCAAATATGTCAACCTCTCTGTTACAGGATAGTCTTTAAGAGATGCAATACAGTGAGGTGATTTAGCATGTAAGCTCTGGAGCCGGAACTCTTGAATTCCAATCTTCTGTTGACTAGTTAAGTCTCTTGGACAAGTTATTGTATGTACACTGTCTTATATATAAAATGCAAATAATCACTGTACTTATATCATAGATTTTTGTAAAGACCAATTTTGATATACATGGGTTAGAATCATTCCTGCCACACAGGAAGATCTGAATGAAGTTGTATGAGGTTAGTTAATGAAATACTATAAGGTCAATGTTAATTTTTACATATTGTGGTCTGAATGACAATGGCCCTGATAGACTAATATATTTGAATATTTGGTCCCGAGTTGGTAGAACTGTTTGGGAAGAACTAGGAGACGTGTCCTTGTTGGAGGAGGTGCATCATGGGGAATGCCATTCCCAGCCATCTATTCCCGCCGCACAGCTATTTCAACATATAAGTTCTCAGCTACTGCTCCAGCAGGCTGCCTGACTGCATGATGACGATGGAATCTCACTCTTGGAAACTGCGATCCTAAAGTAAACACTTTCTAATGTAAGTTGCCTTTTGTCATGACAACAGAAAAGTAACTAAGACACATATACCCGGGGTCAAGCATAGTGACTATTACATAAATGGACATTTAATGAGACCCTGGGTTTGATTTCCAATACCAAATACATACATACATACATACATACATACGTACGTACGTACGTACGTATGTATGTATAAAAGGGATGGGATGAAACATTACCATCAATATATCCTCTCTCCATCTATTGCATACCTTAAGTTACTGCTTCACATCTTCCAGTAACATACTTAACATCTCTGAAAATATAACACTGGCACTCTGACATCAAAACACGGCCCTGAGTTTTCTATGAAATGCATTCATATACACGTACCATAGAGTACTGAAAATGAGTAACTGACACTTCAATCCAAAAATCTATTATAAAGCTGATGAAATGAAGACATACGGCCAGAGATTCCCCCACCCAACGACTGTCCCCTTCTCCTTACAATAACCACGGAAGGAGTTCCAAGCATTGGGGAGGTATGTGTGTTGTACAGAGGAATTCTGCTGCTGCTGTAGAGCCTGCCCTTGTGTGGAAGAACTGCCTTGGATATGGGAGGGGCTGAGCCCCTGCTGTACCTGCTGAGCAGAGGGGCTCAATGGCTGCCCAGCTACCTAGAGAGAAAGAGAAAACAAAAGGAGGAAACTGTGAGATTCCAGGAGACTTATGACTCATAAGTAATACTTTAAATAAGAGCAGGATTAATGAAAAGCAATCATAACTCTCAGACTCTATATTGTTTTCCAAGGGCAATCTACAAAGATATTAAAACGGTGGATTTCAACTAAATTGCTGGAAAGGCAAATGAATGGAAGTTATAATTGCATACATTGGCTAAGCTTAAACCAAAGAAGGTGAAACAGCTTGTCCGGTCACAAAGGTAACCATTTGTGTTTAAAAATACAGTCATGGTTCTTACTGAACAGCCTTGGCCAATCCACCCAGAGGAGAGCTTAGCACTGGTGCACACCAGGCATCTGGTGGAGAGGCTGACTCCTGATTCCATGACAAGTCCACACTTCACCATCTGCAACTCAGGACCGTCCACAGTTCATCTCCTAACTACTTTCCAACTCTTTCCAGTTCTTACTTCCTGCTCATAAGCAGAATAATATTTTTAATAAATCTGTTATAATTTCCTATCTCCTTCTATGATGTCATGACAAGCATATAGTCCCCCTTCAAGAGCTAATTTAAAAACCAAAGGACAAAACTGTCCTTGATTCCCAGCTAAGCGGAATTGCTCCCTCCTCTGAACTCCCACACCTCCCTTTTAATCCCAGTGACAGGCTCAACCTTATTCCACGTCACAGAAGCAACTGCAAGCTCTTGCTGTACAATGTTTTGTTTTGTTTTGTTTTAGGATCTTAAACCACGGAGCTCCACCAAGAAGCCAATAACTTAATGCAAGACTGTTTGCAATAACAACATAAAAAGTGGAGGCAACAGTAGAACTGATAAGATACAAATATAGTGACATCACTCAGTGACCAAGGGCACTGTTATTAATCTGACAGTCCTTGATGTCACCTGAGCACTCTGCATCTCTATAGAGAAATGTACCTGGGATGCTGACGGAGCTGCAGGGGTGGGCTCTGTGACCTGGATATGCTGCACCTGGATGGCATGCTGCGTGTAAGTCTGAGGATCGTGCAGCTGGCCAACGTCCACTGTGGACTGCTGAGACTGATGTGGGGAAGTGGCCTGGAGGGAAAAAAAGAACAGGTTCTAAAACAGATATGTACTCACTGAGGTTAGAACTGATCCTCAGAGAGAAAGTTCACCTAAAAATACTATTCCCTGACAGGCAAAACTGGTGAGAGGTTTTGAGTTTCAGGCCAGCTAGGGCTAAGCAGTGAGACCCTGTTGTCAAAACAATAAGTCAAAGTCAGGCATGGTGGTGCATGTCTTTACTCCAGCATTCAGGAGGCAAAGGAAAGTGGATCTCTGAGTTTGAGGCTAGCCTGGTCTACTAGTAAGCTCTAGGCCAGACAAGGCTACACAGCGAGATCCCATCTTAAAACAAACAAACAAACTAAATAAATAAAGTTACAAGTGGTGGATGCCAGGGTGACAGTGATATCTACCAATTTCCATACATTTAAAGCTCTATTGGTTTTCAATTTTTGAGACTAAATAATTTGAAAGTAACAATGTTCACTCATGTCTTGTTTTTAAAGATTTATTTATTTTATGTATATGAGAACACTCTAGCTGTCTTCAGACACACCAGAAGAGGGTATCAGGCCCCATTATAGATGGTTGTGAGCTACCATGTGGTTGCTGGAAATTAAACTCAGGACCTCTGGAAGAGCAGTTAGTGCTCTTAACCACTGAGCCATCTTCCCAGCCCGTTCACTCATGTCATAAGTCCATTCCTCACAGCACAACTAAAGAGAACATCAGTTCTGGGAGACATCCTTCTTTTAGTCTACAATGAGCAAACATGAGTTAGACATTGTCTAGTAGAGGAAGACAGTAATAGCTCTATTCCAAGTGGAGCTGACTGGGACTGGAGAGCTGGCTAAGTGAAGAAGAGTCCTTGTTGCTCTTCCAGAGGACCCAGGTTCCATTCCCAGCACTCACACCTTATAATGCCTGTAATTACAATTCCAGAGGTCCCAATACCCTCTTCAAACACCCAAACATACATATATATATATATATATTCACACACATATATTTCCATATATTTAAATTATATTTATACCATTATATCATTATATTATATTTTTTTTGTGTGTCATTATATTATATTGTTATATTATATATAGTAATATATACTAAAGAAGCTGACTGATATGAAGACTGAATCAAAATTACTCACTAAAACCTCTCCCTTGAAATAAATTATTCACCAGACAGTGGTGGCACATGCCTTTAATCCCAGCACTTGGGAGGCAGAGGCAGGCAGATTTCTGAGTTCGAGACTGGCCTGGTCTACAGAGTGAGTTCCAGGACAGCCAAGGCTATACAGAGAAACCCTATCTCGAAAATCAAAAACCAAAAAAAAAAAAAAAAAAAAAAAAAAGAAAGAAAGAAAGAAAGGAAGAAATTATTCAATGCCCATGTCAGTATTTCTTAAACTGGTTCATTATGAAATAGTCAGCCAGGATACGAAGGAACAGCTCACAAAGAGGTATCACTAGAGCTGTGTGTACAGGAGCTGAGACCTTCTATCTACAGCAAAAGCTCTTCTGAGTCCAGAGCCATCATGAGGGGCAGAGAGAAGAAGGCAGTGGAGATGGTATTCTCCTACTGCCTCAGACTCAGCACTTCTGCGCAGCTGCACCCTACATAGAGCCAAGGATGCTTTTGACTCCTGCTACCATGCTGGCCACTGGCAATACAGTGTTCATGCAGAAAAAAAAGAAGTAAGTGTCACAGTACCGGAGCCACCTGCACCACCTGCAACTGTATGTGCTGAGGTTGTTGCAGACCAGATGCTGACTGAGACACAGGGATATACTGAATCCTTTGGTAATCCCCCTGAGGTGTTCGGTAATCTGTTGTTAAGGTCTGGGACAGTTCTGTCATTGCCTGAGTTAGCAGGTCTGTTGTCTAGAAAAAAAAAAAATCACAAAACATATTAGTAACAACACTGTAGCAATGTAAATCCAGCTACAATTCAGTTTGGCATGGAGCACATCAAGGAAATACAGACTGGCCTGAGGGCCTGACTCTGACCCAGTTGATCTGCTCCAGCACTGCTGATTTCACCACTGAGAAGGAAAGCATTAAAGATGTCCTGCTCCTCCTTTGGCAGAGAGATTTAGAAAGCACCGGCAAAGAGACCCAACCATAAGCACAATGTTGTAAGTAGCAAGCTGAGGCTAAGTAGCCCTGTTTGCAAAGAATTAATAAATAATTGGCATGGCCTTGTTAAAGAGAGGAGGGGCAGCGAAGGGAATAGGACACTCTTCCTAGTCACCCACTTACCACCACAGTCTCTCCAGTGGCACTATCTGTCGTTAAGACAGCTGGGGTGGCGCTGATCACAGCTGTCGTCAGTGGCGTGTGGATGGTGTTGGGAAGCTGGGCATACTCTGGGTGCTTCTTTCGAATGTGCTGCACCATCTTGGTCTAGAAAATGAAGGGAAAATAAGGAAACAATTAGGGAAGGTAAAGCAGGAAAGGCATAAATTTAAGGCCAACCTGGGCTAGATACCAAGACCTTGTCTCAAAACAAAGCAAAAACAACACTGAGCATGTGGTGGTTTGAATGTGCTTGGCCCAGGGAGTAGCACTATTAGGAGGTGTGGCAATGTTGGAGTGGGCATGGCTTTGTTGGAGGATGTGTGTCACTGTGTAGGTGAGCTTTGAGGTCCTATGCTCAATCTCCACACTGTCCCGTGTGTACAGGAGCTGAGACCTTCTATCAGTTCCTGATACAAGAGCACCTCCTCCTGGTTGCCTGCAAAACACCAGTCTTTTTCTACCTGCTTTGGGATCAAGATGTATGAAGTGGGTGGTTCTGATGTTGAAGTCCTGTTCCCCAATTGATTCTTGATTTGGCAGTAAAGAAGGCCAGAGGCAAACTGCTGGGCTAAACATGAAGGTGGGACTTCTGGATCCCAGGAGGAAAAGATGTAAAGAAAGAGAGGGGTCTTTCTGCCATCCTTTAGAGGAAGAAGAATGCAGCAACCATGTGAGGTCTTGGGGAGAGCCTGGGCCTGTGGCGTCTGCTACAGGCCAAGGATGTTTGGCAGGGGCTAGGTGGGACTAGCCACTAAGTTTAGGGCAGGTAAAGAGATGGAGATAACAAAGTGGTACGGGCGTGTTTATCCAAGTGGGAGATATCTACGCCCAGTAATTGTGCCAAGAAGGCAAATTGTAAAGAAATTAACTCTATGTGTGTATGCATATTCAAGGGTCTCAGGTGGGAGCCAGTAGTGCATTCACCTCCTGGAGCTAAAGCTGGACAGAACAAAAGGGAAACGGGGGGGGGGGGGGGGGGGGGGCGGGTGGCATAGCCAATCCCAGGCAAAGGCAATAGCTTTAAATCTACACATTACAGATGTTAGAACTCTCAGCTCCTTCTCCAGTACCATGTCTGCCTGGATGCTGCTATGCTTCCTGCCATGATGATAATGGACTGAATCTTTGAAACTGTAAGCCAGCCCCAATTAAATGTTGTCCTTTATAAGAGTTGCCTTGATCATGGTGCCTCTTCATTGCAATGTAAACTCTAATCAAGACAGACCAGAATTAGCAACTTTCTCCCATGCAACTGCTCCAAAGGTTCTGAAAGCAGTTCATTTGATGCCTTTAAAAATGTTCTCTGTCTTGCAAGAGGGTGGTGGAGTGTTGATTGGTTCTTGTTGTTTGTTTGTTTGTTTTAGCCAGGCACAATGACTTGTATATATAAGGCCCACCTCCTTGGGAAGCTAAGGCAGAAAAGATAACTTGAGGTCAACCTGGGAAACACAGAGAGATCCCATCTCCTAAATGCAATAAAGAAGTCAAAGCAGCACTGACCACACTTGGGAAGCGATCACACTGTCAAAGCAAAACAAGATGTGAGGAGAAGACAGGAAGAAGAGGGGACACAAAAACACCTACATGACCATCAGGCAGCATCCAAAACCCCATACTTACTCCCAATCCCTGAATGCCTGATGCAATCGGACCAGAAGTGGGATACCCACTGAAGTGACCCCCTTTTCAAAAACTTCCATCTCAGTTCCTGTATATGGGATGCCACAGGATGAACTCATAAACTGTGAGCAAAGAACACTCAAATATAAGGTGTGAACAGGCCAAGAGGAAAGCAGCTGAGAGCTCAGCATAGTAATAATCTGGAAGAGTACACAGCATTCCATTCTATTCCCCTAAGTGATCCCTACTTATACAGGTCTTCAGCCAATCAATTCACCACGTAGGACATCTGGATCAGAGGCTGTCTATTAAGACATCCTCGTGTTAGAGGTTCTGACATCAGACTTGGTCAGAGCCAGCACCGTACCTTGCTGCTATACTGTTTGGAGCAGTGTGGGCAGCAGACAGGAGGGGTGGCGATGGTACCCGTCAGCTGGGTGTGGGTGCTCAGCATAGGGTCGGGCTCTCCGGGGCCAGCAGGACGAAGTTTCCGAATGCTTGGTGGGAGTTCAGCTCCTGGATGGTTCTTCAGAATGTGGGCTTTGCGCTTGCTAGCACTCTTATACACCTGCAAGTTTAAATATTTGGCCATGAAAGCAATGTACAGCTCCACTTTCTTGCTTAAAGCAAAATAAGAAATTTCTTTCTATGAAAAGGAGAAAAACGTATCGATGTAGCCCCAAATAAAATATATCAACAAGCACAGAATATGGTGGGCCATGCCTGTAATCCTGGCTCTCAAGAGACTGTAGCAGGAGACGTCTAGTCTAGTGCCATCTTGGAGTACCAGTGAGTCTAAGCCAGTGTGAACTAGAGTGAAACCCCGTCTTAGAATAAGAAGGTTGTCAGGCATGGTGGCACATATCTTTAGTCCCAGCTCTGGGGAGGCAGAGGCAGCCTGGTCTACAGAGTGAGTTCCAGGTAGCTAGGGCTCAGTTACACAGAGAAACCCCATCTTGAAAAATGAAGGGATAAAAAAAAAAAGGATAAGAAGAGATTCTGGGTATGGTGCTCTATACCTAGAATCCTATCTCTCAAGAGGCAAGGACAAATGGATTGCAATTTCAAGACCAGCCCAAGCTACACAACAAGACCCTGTCCTACAAGTATATATATGTATATGTATATATACATATACGTATATATATGGCTATGAATATTATCTATTATCTATGGCTATGAGTATTATGAGTAATAAAGCAAGAATCTAATATAGATATGCTAGGTAATTTCCTTGACTCTTCTGTATAAATAAGTGTGGTAGGCCCACATGTAAATATGCTTGGCCTAGGGAGTGGCACTATTAGAGTATGGGTGGACTTCGAGACCCTCCCCTAGCCACATGGGAGACAGTCTTCTTTTGTTTGCCTTCAGAACAAGAACTAGAACTCTCAGCTCCTCCAGCTCCATGCCTGCTTGGACACTGCCATGTTTCCTACCATGATGATAACAGACTGAACCTCTGACATCCAGCCCAGGGAAATGTTGTCTTTTATATGAGTTGTCTTGGTCATGGTGTCTCTACACAGCAATGGAAACTCTAAGATAGAGAGTAACTGTAAAAACACCCTTCACTCAAAATGTAAAAGGTACACACCACAGACAGCAGCCCTGTCTTGTGTAACTGCAATTATAAAAGCAGAAAATTCCACCACACGCTTTCTCACTGCCCACTCAGTCTCCCAGGAACCCGGATCTACCATGTAACTTGAAAGCTGACAGACTATTTTTCATCTTGGACATTTCAAGTGAATTCATATTCTAGGTGATAAACATTCTCTATTGTAAAAGTCACAGACAGAAGGTATAATAAGAAAACAAAGTCAATTAATTCTTCAAAAAATAGCTTACATTTATTTTTTTTTAACATTATAGCTTATCTATCTAGCTACTGGGTTTTTTTGAGGTAGGATTTCTCTATATGGCCCTGGCTCTTCTGAAACTCACTCTGAAGACTAGGCTGGCCTTGAATTCAGATATCCACCTAAGTCTGTATCCCAAGTGCTAGGATTAAAGGCATGCACCACCACTGTCCCACCACATTTAATATTTTAATTAAAAAAATTTTATGAAATTGTTATATGTGCACATGTATATTTGCATACGTGCATGTGTAACTGCAAGTATCCAGAAGAAAGTATCGTATTTTCCAGAGCTGGAGTTACAGGTGGTTTGTGAACCATCTGATGCGGGTGATGCAACTTAAACTCAGGTCCCCTGGAAGAGAAATGCTCTCAACCACTGAATCATCTCCAGCCCCTAAAATTTTATTTTTTAGTTAAAAGTGTATGTATGTGCACATGTGTGTGTGCACATGCATATATGTGTCTGTCTGTCTGTCTCCGCCAGTCTGTAAGTGCACCATGTTTGTGTAATTCCTATGAAAGAAAGGAGAGGGCATCATGTTCCTTAGAGCTGGAATTGTAAGAGGTTGAGCTGCCCAGTGTAGGTATTGGGAGAGAATCCTTGAGAATGGTTGTAAGCTCCTGCTCTTGACCACAGAGCCATCTCTACAGCCCTTGGCTTACAATGAGGCAATTTTCTGTCTAAATGCTGAAAAGCCCTGGTAGGCATCCATCCGTGGCCTAACCCCTGCCTACATCCTACCCCACAGCAGCCAAGCCAGGAGGAAGACTTTACTTTTACCTTATCACAATACTGACAGAAGTAATCGCGATTGGGTTTTATGATGGGTAGGGTTAACTCAGGCACCTCTTCTATCTTCATGTCTGGATGCCTCTTTGATAAGTGATTTACCTGGAAATAGAAAAGAGAGACAGACACAGGGAGAAAATCATTACAAACCAAAGTTAAACAAAATACTCTGAAACTGATGGCTAAAGGTTAAAACTCTGAAGTAAATGCTCAAAACAGTAAGGCTTATGCCAGAGACACTGGACACCAAAGTGTCCACAGACCCTGTCAACAGGAGTTAACAATAAACCATTCAGCAAATAACTGAAGGCAGCCAGTCACCTAGAGGTCCATCAGTAGTCTCTGTCTAGAACAATCATTAGAGAAAGGAAAATTGCCGAGCATGAGTTTTCTGATGAATTATCCTAAAGTAAACCTGACTTTCATTTTTCAACTCTCTTACTGGGACTGCTGAATGGATACAAAGTAAAGGTTCTAATTTTAACTACTAAGATTTTCTAACCACCTTAGTAGAAATATACGATCTGAGTCAGCTAAAAGCAATGAAGTGTCCTGATAATTCCCCTAAACTGGGCCACACTCTGCTTTAAAAGGAAGTTTCTTTATGTCACTATTTCCTAACTCAACAAAGATGGCACTGATAGGGAACTGATACTGGGAAGGAGATAAAGACCCTGACAGAGAGAATAGTCAACAAATGAGAGGAGGAAAATCAAATGAGACATGACCAAGAGATCAAGGTAAAGAAAAACAAACAAATAACGAGAAGTGACAGAAGCCTAAAGATGTGGCTCAATGGCAGAGCACACGCCAAACGGGTGTAAGGCCCTGGGTTCCCAGCATCAAAACAGGGAAAGGAAGGGAGGGCATGGAATCGTCCTTTCAAAAGGTTGTCCAAAAAGTGTTTCAGAAGAGCAAAGGGAGACAAAGAAAAGAAGCCCAAACTAGTGGCTGCTTGCTTTTCTTCTCTCCTAGCCACTGACTGGTACATCCACAAATCTAATTTGGTAAGGCTCATTGCCACTGACAAAAGGGGTAGATCTGGAGACAGTTTCCTATCTGATCCAGCACTGACCAGCATGCCTCGCCTCCGGAAGCCCATCATGCACAGGCGGCACTTGAACGTGAAGCTGTCGTAGTCTGTGGATGTGATTCGTGGTTTGAAGGTCTTGGAACGACTGATGCGGTCAGCTTTCTTGGCCTCCCTTTCAGGGTTATGCATCCTTTGCATGTGCTCCCGGAGTTTGTCTTTTCGCTATTTGGAGAATTTTTGTTAAAAAGGGATAGAGGCAAGGATAGAAAAATTATAATTGAAGAGTAATTTAAAAACAACAACAAACATCAATTCCTTGGAAACCACTGGCAACTCCAGCCAGAGAACCAGGTAGGCTAACTGCAAATCTTCACCTCTTCCTCCTCTCCTCCAAATCCATTCCCCAAGTCTCATCCCCAGCTTTGTAGTAGGTCACCTGCTAAGGCTCCTGCCTATCATGTCAGGTGGATCACACAGATCTTCCCTCTGTAGTTGTTTGAAAGAAAATGGTCATAGGTTCACAGGAAGTGGCACAATTGGAAAGTGTGGCCTTTCTGGAGTAGGTGTGGCTTTGTTGGAGGAAGTAGGTACTGGGGGCCAGCTCTGAGGTCTCAGAAGCGCAAGATGAGCCTAGTGGCTCATTCACTTCCTGCTGCCTGCAGATCCAGATGTAGAACTCTTAGCTACCTCTCCAGCACCATGCCTACCTGTGTGCCACCAAGCCTCCCACCATGATGACAATGGATTAAACCTCAGTCATGATGTCTCTTTACAGAAATAAAATCTTAACTAAGACACCTCCCAAGTTCCTTCCCCCCATTCACCAATTTATCCCAGCCCCCAACTCTAGCAGGCATTCCCTGGGAACCCACTAGCTACACCTGCCAGAGAAGAAAGTAGGAGGGCAAAGCAGGTAGGTGAGCTTCAGATCAGTAACAGCCAGGACAATGTGTTTCTGCTAGAGCCCAGCAACCCTACTACCACAGACCCTGAGAACTGCAAGATAACTGAAGCACAAGAAAGAGATTAATAAGCCGGGTGGTGGTGGTGGCACATGCCTTTAATCCCAGCACTTGGGAGACAGAGACAGGCCAAATTCTGAGTTCTAGGCCAGCCTGGTCTTCAGAGTGAGTTCCAGAACAGCCAGAACTACACAGAGAAACCCTGTCTCAAAAAACCAAAAAAAAAAAGTAAGAAAAAGATTAATAACAGTCTTTGTGAATACAATAGAGGTAAAGAGGAAATCATAAATCCCTTGAAGAAATCTATGAAAATATAAACAAACAGTGGAAGGAATTGAATAAAACAGTTTAAGACCTGAAAGTGGAAATAGAATCAATAAAGAAAACCCAACTGAGGGAAATCTGGGATAAAAAATTTAGGAACTCAATCAGGAGCCTCAGAGGAAGCCTTGTCAACAGAAGGCAAGAAATGGAAGACAGGCCGGGCGGTGGTGGCGCACGCCTTTAATCCCAGCACTTGGGAGGCAGAGGTAGGCGAATTTCTAAGTTCGAGGCCAGCCTGGTCTACAGAGTGAGTTCCAGGACAGCCAGGGCTACACAGAGAAACCCTGTCTCGAAAAACCAAAAAAAAAAAAAAAAAAAGAAATGGAAGACAGAGTCTCAGGCACTGAAGACACAACAGAAGAAATAGACATTACAGTCAAAGAAAGGGCTAAATCTAAAAAACTCCTAGCACAAAATATACAGGAAATCTAGGACACTATGAAAACACCAAGGCTAAGAATAATAGGATTAGGAGAAGAAACCTGGATCAAAGGCACAGAAAATATATTCAATAAAATCACAAGACAAAAATGTCTCCAATCTGAAGAAGGAAATGCCTAACAAGGTACAAGAAGCATAAAGAACACCAAATAGACAGGTCCAGAAAAGAAATTCCCCTCCACACAGAATAATCAAAACATTAAATGTACAAAAACAAAGAGACAATATTAAAAACTGCAAGGGAAAAAGGCATTCCCCTGCCTCTCACTTAACCTAGCTATGTAAGAGCTATGATTGTGTCACCAGCAGAAGGTACTATGGGGATTCATAACAAGTATTTCACTCAGAGATCAAGAAATGCCTCAGATGAGTGATATCCGCCAGGTGAAATCATGGGAGTCTGAAAGTTGACTTCATTCAGGACTAAGATCAAAATAGAGAGACAGTACTCCTCACTGAAGTAACTCCACACAGCAAGGCTGCCAAGCGGAAGGAGGAACGGGAGAGGAAGGAGGAAGCAGATCCTGTGTTGTCCCAGAGACTGTGATGAGAACAGTGGGATCCACCTGCATAGAGGACTGCAAAGGGTTTTCTCAGAAGGGCCACAGCAGCAGACTTGTTCTCTGGTGAGTCTGAAAAGGGCATTGTAGTCATGGTAGCTGTGGTGCCCACTTGGCCAAGGCAAAGGAGGATTACTCGGACTCCCCTCCCAGCTTTACTCCACAGTGGAATCAGCCAAAGGAGGGACTGGTGAGCTGGGTCTGGTGGGAAGATGCCTGCACATTCTCCCTCCCACTCAGCCACAAGCTCTCTTCCTGACTGCCAGACTCCAGACTTGCCACAAGGGTGCAGCCTTCTACCAGCCTTCCATCTTGGGATCACACTGTAGTCAGAGGACTTAGGGTCCCAGATTCCCAGGTAAGCTCCCCTCTAACACGCAGAGCAGAGCTCCGGTGGGTGCAATAGTGGCTGCTCACGCCCCAGATCCTCCTTTCAGACTCTCGTTTCTACATCTTTCCCCATAATTAAGTTCTCAATCAAACCAGGACATCTCTTACTCTCTAACCACTGGAGTAGCTCTGATTCCCTGCTCCAAGCCTACATAACAGGGTCGAATGAAATTAAAGATGAAAACAGAAGCAGAAAGATTTGGTTTCTTCTTAACTCTTTTTGCCCTTAAAATTTGCATTACACCTGTTTTATTTGTAGGAGGAAACTCATGTCATGGTGCATACATGGACGTCAGAGGATAACTTGCAAGAGTCAGTGTGTGGCTCCAGGGACCAAACTCAGGTTGTCAGTCTTAGCAGCAGATGCCTTTATCCACTGAGCCATCTGGCTGGCCCAGCTCTTTTTGATTTTAACCTTCTTAAACATTAAAATAATAACTGGCATAAAAAAAAATCAAAAAATATTAAGTCAGGCCTAACGGCCTATGTCTATAATCCCAATACTACTCAAGGCCAGTCTAGGCTACACGAGACACTTTCTCAAAGTTGCAAAAACAACAAAGTGCTGAATGGATGGAACAGATGAACTGGCAATGCTAGTATCACAGCACAGTGATTCCTTTAGAGAGAAAGTTTTATGGAGTTAGAGATGTAGTTGTTGGTAGAGTCTGTGACTAACATACACAAAACCCTAAGTTCAAACCCCATATCCAGCATAGAAGGAGAAAGAAAGGGAAAAAGAAAAAATGGGGTGGGAGAAAGGAGGGAAAAAGGAGAGAACTGGAGAAGAAAGATGAATGTAGCGGAATAATGTGAAGGGGAAAGGTGTGGGTTAGACCACCGTGCAGCACGTAGTGATTTCATGGGCTGTAATTCTAACAAGAGACGAGAGGGCGGTGCTGCACATAGGAACAGGATGGGCAAATGGGGAAGAGAAAGGAAGAAAGGGAAGGGAAGGAGAGTGAAGGGAATGGAAAGGGAAGGGGAGGGGAAGGGAGAGGAGGAGGGAAGGGCAAGAGGGGAGGAGAGGGGAGAGGAGGGGACGGGAGGAAAGGAAGAAAAGGAAGGGGAGAAAAGGACGGAGGAGAGGGAATAGAGAGGAAAAGAAAAGGAGAGCAGATGAAACTATGGTTCTGTGTGCCTATAATCCCAAGACTTGGAGGGTAAAAGCACAGGAATAAGTTTTAAGGCCAGTCTGGTCTACATAGAAAACATTGGGAGAGAAAACAAAGAAAAAGGAAGGTGGGAGGAAAGTTGTTTGGACAGTAGAAAGGGAGGGAGGAAGGGAGGGAGGGAGGGAGAGAAGGAGGGAGAGAGGGAAGGAAGGAGGAAAAAGAGGCAAGCAGGGAGGGATGGAAAGGAGAAAGGAAGGAAAAAGAAAAGGAGATAGGAAAACTGCAGTCCAACTTATACTATTCACATTGGAGTTTTTAAAAACTTGTGTAAACAAGCATGCACGTGCATGGTGTGGTTTGTACGTACAGAGAGAGGATAACCCGTGCACTCGGCTCTCTCCCTCCACTACACGTGCTCCAGGGATTGCACACAGTTATTAGGTGCAGTGGCAAGCAGTCCCGCCGCCCACGGCGGCATCTGTCTCACCTGCCCATGTTGGTTTTTGAGACAAGGTCTCACTCTATACCCAGGCTGGCCCTTAGTTTGCTACATAGTTTAGGCTGGTCTCAGACTCATAGCAACCCCTCTGTGTCAGCCTCCTGAGTACTGAAATTCCAGGTAGATGCCACCATACATAGTGGAATTCCTCAGAGATTTCAATCGTGATGATCAGTAGATGTAATGTAAACCATTACAAATGTAATCCATAATTAATCTATAATGGATTACCACAGAGCTTAAGCCTTTCCTCTTAAGCCTTTTACATTCCATAGGGACATACCTCTCACCTGTCCCTTCCCAAGAATCCATCTCAGCTTCTTCTTCCTTAGTTAATTTTATTGGTCATTAGTGTGGCGAGGACATTCAAATACCATGAGCACACATGAAGGGCCAAGGACAACTTTTATGGGTAGGTTCTCTCCATTCACCATGGGATCCAGGCATCGAACTTAGATTCTCAGGTTTGTGTGCCAAGTACCTTTAGCCACTGAACTGTCACACTGGCCCTCTTTCAGTCTGCCTCACAAATGACTAGAGCAGTGTTTAGCAGTGACTGTCACTAACAAATGCTGAATTTCCTGCAGACTTCCCTTTGGTGTCTTCTTAATTCCAGGCAGGTTGCTGGTTTGGGTTTCACTTTGCTTTCATTTGGGTTCACTATGTAGCACAAACTGGCTAGCCATTTACTATAGCTCAGGCTAGCCTCAAATTCAAGCTCCTGCTTCAGCTTCCCGAAGACTGGGATTCCATGCCAAGCTATGTATGTTTCATCAGAGTTCTTGAAATCATTACATTCTCTAGAGTAAGCCAACCCTCAGACCTGTCCCCTCTGACATCTCTTCTGGAGAAGATCCTGCTGCTTAGATGACTTACCTGCAGGCTCTTATCGGACTAAATGTTCAACAACAAGAAAGAACCCTTGACTTAAGCAGTAAGTAAATGTTCTGGTCTCTTCGGACTCCCGAAATAGCAATTTGGTTCTAGTAGCCATCACTTCATCACTTAGGACATGTGCACAAAGTTATGAACAAGCAAGTGTCTGTCCTGAGCCTCACTTGATCCTGGGTAGGCCAGTCCCCTCGGGCTGCAGGATGGCTTCCTACCTTAAACTGCTTCCCGCAGGTGGAACACAGGAAGTCCTTGCGGTCGGAATGCCGGAGCATGTGCAGTCTCAGTTTGTCGGGGCGGCAGAAGGCCTTGTCACACTCCGTACACTGGTAGATCTTTTCAGAATGGAAGCTTCGCACGTGCTTTTTCACCTGGCAGTAAAGACCAGGGGATGCTCAGGCCAAAAGAAAAGACCAGAGGAGGCTATGACGCTAGAGGGAGCCCACGCACCACTCAGGACTTTCAGTGGCCTGGCCAGTTATCCAGTCTCAAGGGAGGACTGCCCTCAGTAACACACACTGTCCCGCTCACAAAGAAACAGAACAGGCCAGAAAGCCCCATCAATCTGAACCTCCCAGGTGACTTAAAGCACAGAAGTAACAGCACTGCCTTGATCTTTTGTACCATCTTCTTCTTTTTTTAAGGCTAAAGGCAGGATGGCTTTGGATTTAAATGAATCTTGCTAAAAATTACCTATAAGAAAACAAAAGTCATTTGTCCTCATTTTTGTTTCTACACATGTAGAGGTAACTGCTTCATTAGTAGCTGATCCTTTCATCTCCTCCTATTAAAGCAGGTCTGGGATGAAGCTCAGTGTAACATAACTGCCTGCAGCCATGCACGCTCTAGGTTCAATCTCAGTTCTGGAAGAAAAGGGTCAGGTTCTGAAGAATGAGAGATAGAAATCAGGTGACATTGGCGATACCACTTCACGAGCACAGTCCTGACTGCCATCCTCCCTAACTGGAAAGGACTCCCTTTACTTTCAGATAACTCTATAGCTTTTCCCTGGATTCAACTCCAGTAGTTGGGTGGGAGTGGGGATAGAGAAAGACAGGTTCTGAACTCTCTTAACTATAAATAATAAACGAAAAAGTGCTTTGGGAGAAGCCAAAGCTCAACAGAACAATGTGTGCCTAGCATTTAGGATACTTTGAATCCAATAGCCAGCATTGAAGTGAAAGAGACAAAAGCAAGTAAGCAATGGACAGAAGCTAAGTAGAAAATCCACGCTAGTCCATTAAAGCACTCGGACTCTGGAGCTCCCTTTGCCATTACATGATGCCTTAACAACCTTTCTAACTGTATGAAGAAAAACTTTCCAACACCCTCACTGTCAGAGAGCTAAGATTAAATCCCCCTCCTATTGCTTTTGCAATTTTTAAAGAAAAAATATATATATTTGGTGTCATGAGACAGGGTTTCTCTGTGTAGTCTTGGTTGTTCTGGAACTGGCTCTGTAGACGGGGTGGCCTTGAATCTATGAAGATCTACCTGCCTCTGCCTCTGAAGCACTGGGAATAAAGGCGTAAGCCACCATACCCATCAATTTAAAGAATATTTATATGATATATTGTGATTTATTTACTGGATAAAAAATATTGTTGGTTAAAATTAAATCATGGATGCTATGGAATTTTTCTATCCCCACTTTACCCCAATACTACCAGAGAGATAGTCAGTGCTCGGCACAACAATCATAGACCAACTCGGTTTCCTTCCAAATACACAGCCTTACTAAAGCAAGAGAGAAAGCAGAATGGCAGGGAGATGTTTCCCGTCCAGAAGTGAAGGAAGATGAGCTGCCAACTCTATGCTGTTTCATGAGTAATGGATATTTGGGAAAGATTCTTTAAAAGACTTTTTAAAAATAATAACCAGATGTTTCAAGATGATCTTTATATTTATTTTTAGTGTACATGTACGATAATAATGCACATGTGGAGATCAGAGGACAATTTCAGGGGGTAGCTCTCATGTGGGTTCCAGGGATTGAACTCAGATCATCCGGCTTGGCAGCAAGCACCTTTACCCACTTGGCTGTCTTGCCAGCACCAGATGTGGTGTTTATTACTAGAAATATAACTTAAGACATTTAAGTAACACTGATCTGTACAACTAAGGAAAATAATACTTTATATGTGAAAAGTAGTTTGAAAACTATTGCAAAGTTATTTAAAAAAAAAAAAAAGGATGAAAAGGCAGGAGCTGGACGATCTCAGTTTTCCAAAAATTGCAGTTGCTTTTACGAAAAGATGGAAGCAGACAGGAATGTCAGTCACAGACACTCACCTGGATAAAATCTGGGAACCGTTTCTTACAAGTTGGGCAGGTGAAGTAGCCATCATTGACATGAATGGCCACATGATCTTTCAACAAATCAAGGCGGTCAAAGGATTCTGGGCAAAAAATGCAAGAGTAAGTCTTCTGGTCCGAATGGAGCTTCATGTGGCTCTCCAAGGAGGCGCTGCTGATGAAGCCCTTGTTACAGAGATCACAGGTCAATGGGCAGTTCCCCTCCCGCCCATGGAAGCGCAAGTGTTGGTCCAGTTTGTCCTTTTCCCGGAAGGCCTTCCCACACTGCAGACATTTAAAAGGCCGGAATGACTTCCGGATAAACAGATGCTGAAGAGCTGCATTCTGAAAGACACAAACAGGGCCAAATGCTGAGGAGACCCAGAGTGACTCCTGCAGTTCAGAGAAGCTGAACTCAAGGACACAGGGTGAAGTGAGAAGGGCTGAGGCTGAAGCAAGCCCCCAAAAGTCTGCTGTGAAGAAACAGTTTCGGGGTTTCACTTTATTTCCATATGTGCGTACTTCCTATTGAAAGAATTTAAGTCAATTTCAAAAATGTGTTTTCTCTTTTTCTTTTTTCTCTTTTCTTTCTTTCTTTCTTTCTTGCTTTCTTTTCTTTTCTTTTTCTTTTTTTTTTGATATAGGATCTCACTCTATAAATAACTTTGGCTGTGCTATAACTCACAGAGATGCCCCTGTCTCTGCATCTCAAGCGCTGAGATTAAAGGCATGTGCCACTACATCCTGCTCAAAATTTGTCTTCAATAGAAAACGAGAGAGAGAGAGAGAGAGAGAGAGAGAGAGAGAGAGAGAGAGAGAGAGGGAGAGAGAGAGAGAGAGAGACTGAGACCAAACCCAGAGCAGAACAGAACCTGAAGATGGGGAGGAGAACAAACACTTGGGTAAGTGACACATGCATGGTGAGAGTAGAGGGTGGCAGTCAGTCAAAGCCCTCCATCAAAGAATCTGAAACAGATGAAAACATTTCACAGTAAGGTAAAGTAAGAGGAACTGATGGGCAACCAGACCTTCCCTGGGGGGAGACAGACAAAGAAATAGGTATGGGGTTCCTTTGGGTATAAGGCATTAAGTCAGTGGATTTTTCAATGTATGTATTACTGATCTCAATTTAAGAAAATGAACAGAATGGGAAATGAAGATTTATGTGAATGCATTTGTTCATGGGGCATGATGTGAATACATCATAAATGAAAAATATGTATTTCAGTTCTTAGAGAATGTGAAGGACTAGTTCCCATGGTAGTTCTAAACAAAGCTGCACTTCTGGTCTAAACAGGTCAATTTTGTTCTTTCCTTGTCAGGACAGAATGCCCCTCTGTGGCTGGTTATCTATCTTGTAAATCCATACAATTGTCCCAGGGAATCCAAGCCAAAGAAGACAGATGCTCAGTGGAATCCACCACAGCTACTGGACAATCAACAGGCACTCCACCAAGAGCAAAGCCCCACAAATATCTTTCACACAGAAAAAACAGAATCAATACTTCGTTGTGCCACAAGGAAGACTCATTCCTAAGTCCCTCAAAGCACAGAGGCAAAGGTCTAGATTGCTTTATGATGGGGAAACTCTTCAGAATGTACCTGTGAATGGGTGTGCTTGGCAGCTATAGGGGACAGTCACTGAAAGATCAATAGGGATTGTCATGTGTTATCTGTGCAATGAAGAAACTGCAGAGGTCAGGGTACTTTCAATTGCTAATCAGAAACACCTTGAAAATTAAATTAAATGTGAAGTAATTATGGGGGAAAGCAAAATATTTATTTTTGATCTATGGAAATTTCTAAACATGGTCCAATTCACATACCAGGAAACTGACTCTCCCGGCTTCTCCAACAAGCCTCCGAGAGGTATTTACTATGCTACCTAGTCATTTATTTTGAGTGGTAAACAACAATTCTGTTGTCTTCCTAAGCTGACTGAGGCTGCAGGAGGGGCGCAACACATTTCATTCCTTTTTCTATGTAGATCCCTTAATAAACTACTTCGTCACAGGAAATCTCACATATTGGCTTGAAAATTAACAAACTGTATTTCAAATACAACTCTAACATTATTCCTGGGTTCTTTTCCACAGTATCCACAGAGATCCTGAAGAACAGCTCTTTTTCAAATCAGCCATGGTTGCTCTCATTTCCTCAAGCTGCTTGGCACATTATCCTGACACACACTTGGCAAAAAGGCTCTTCCTATTTTCCTCTACTTTCAGAATGTTATGGGAAGATGCCAGAGAAACAGATGCTCTTCTAAGGTTCAGTGAAGATTTGGGATTTAGAGCATGTCTGCCGTGTAAGAAGCACTTCCTTGATCCAGCCGCGGTCAAGTTTCCAGTTTCCAAGGACAGACCTGCTGCACAATCTCACAGGGGGCTCCATCTCTCCTGGGTGCTAAATCCACAGCTCAGTTTTGTGTCCTACATTGTGCTCCTCAGTCTCCTGTCAGTTCTGATTAGCATGAGGACCTTCAGACACTTGGTTTTAACAGAGCAGCCACCTGGCTCCCTTCCTTAGCGCCACTGCAACTCTTATCATCTGTGTCGTTTCCATGGAGCCCTGAAAACCAAGTGCTCAAAAGCTGGCCTGCTTCTTTCTGAGCTAGCAGCTCTCATGTTGCAAAGGCGTGAGTACTGGGCTACCCCACCCTTGACTCATTTGCAGGCTACTTCTGCTCTAAGGTATTTTCTCTCATGCACAGCCACACTTGGGCCACGTCTACAAGAAACCATCACAACCAGGGAAAATTAGAAAATCCCTGAGCTCTCATACTCAGTGTCACCATACCACATGGTACATTAACTGCTCTGGGGATGGCAAAGTAGTAGCCTCCTTCTAAATTCTACTGCACTACAGTGAATTCTGAGAGAAGATTATTCTTTTGTAAAGTGTTTCTAAAGTTTGAAATTAATAGCTAAGGGAACCCACACTATTAACTCATTGTCACACTGTTCTCATCCTGAGACTAAAGAAAAAAGAATCAGCTTGTTTGTTGGATTTTGGTTGTATTAAACAAACAGACAAACAAAAACCCAAAAAAAAAAAACAAAAAGAACAAATAATTCTTCAGTTTATCACATACTCAGCTTTCAAAACTTTTAGTGGGTTAACAACACACCTCTCTCCACTCTCCTCCTCCCAACACCCAAACAAGGGTCACAACACTAGCTGCACTTCTCATAAGAGCACTAAGAATATCTGTGCCCGAGCTTCTTCTGCTCCTATGGTTGACTTCCTGTGGAGCTATCTACCTCCCAAGAGACCATCTTCCAAGCGCCTGTGTCCTCCCATCTACAGATGATGTCCTGACTTGCCTCTGTCCCCCCTTTTGTTCTTCTCAGTTCTTAGAGCAGTCCCAGGCTGCACTGGAATATTTAACAGAGAACTGCAAATCGCTTTCTGCTAACACTGGCTCCTTATTAGACTAGAAGCCCTACAGCCCTGAGCTCTGTTAGTTGCCCAGACAGAACTGACTGTACAGTCCGAGTCCAGCACCATAGCACACATCTGAAATTGCTTCAGAGCTAGCAGGCGCCTTGGAGATCATTTTGTCCTTGCTTTTGTTTGCACAGGAGGAATCTACAGCCCACAGTTTACTAATTTATCTATTTGCAAATAAAATCTTATCATTCATTAATTTGCATTTACAGGGGCAACCAAATTGTGTTTTCCATCTGAATTCAGTAAGTACAGTGTGCAAAGAACAGCAGGTCAGCAAACACTTAAATAACATTCTGGGGATGTGAAACACAGGAAACAAACCTACCTGCAGCTCCAACTGAGCAGGCAGCATTAGAGGAGAGAAAAATAGTTATATTACCAATTGGCTCGGAAGATTTCCCTGCAGTTGGTCATTACCAATCTGGATAAAAAGATGAGAAAATACATAGCCCTACTTTTTAGAATGCGTGAGAGGAAAAAACTGAGACAGATCAACTAAGATTGAAGATTGACCTCCAAAGGCTACCCACATGTGGCTTTTTGCTTTGATGCAAGGAACCTTGTGCTGAAACCATACCCCACCTCTTTAAAGAACCAAAGTGATCAAACAGCCACTTGACTACAGGTATGCACCTTGTTATTTTTTTTCCCCTTCAAAACAATGGAATGGAGCACGTGGTTTCCCTGAGCTTGGAAAAGCACACGTGATAACAGCTGGGCAGGAGGACAAGCACAGACCAGGAAGTGATACATAAGATGGATCAGAAACATCCGCTCACACAACTCCTCCTGAAGGTATATAGAGTGATTTGAAAGTTGTATGTATTTTGATTACAGGACCTTCATAAAGGATATTTAAACAGCTTTCAGAGTCCTTCGAGTCTGTCATGTGACTAAAAGTATAAATGTACTGTTAAACGAAATGCATTTCCAAGGTCCCTTCCAGGCTAGAAACAGACCAAAAGAGGGAAAAGACTCAGTCTCTCTCCTCCACGGCAAGATCCCAAGGCAGCAGCTGCTGTACCTATCTCCGAGGCACACCTTGGATGCCTCAGCTAGTCACTGTTAGAAAGAAAGAAGAAAAGAAAGACCAAACAAACCTGAACTAGTGTGACCATCCATCTAGAAAAGGCTAGAGAGTTGTGGTGTGTGTGTATGTTTTATGTACAAGTCAAGTATCCACAAATCTTTTACACACCAGCTGCCATAAACAGACACAGACATTACATAAAACCATATTTCTTTCCATATACACCCACGGCAGCTCCTAACTCAGGTTCAAATACGGCCCACAAAATAATAAAAGAAACATGTTGGAAATGAAGTCTGAGAGCCGCTGCAGACTCACAGTCTAAAGCAGAGACACAGACCACACAGTAACACACTAACCAGCCCCTGAATCCACAACTCTGCTTAAGCTGTGCCAGGTGTATACCCTGAACCTGCCCCATTAACTGAGACAGATCCCTTCTCAGAGACACTTGCTAGATTCCCCTAGAAACCACAAATAATCAATTTAGTTACCCATAATTTCCTTGAGAGCTATGATTAGGTCACAGATTAGAATGCCTGGAAATACAAATATTTTAGGTTGGAAAGTATAGCCTGGGGGAAAGAGTCCCTGCTCAGCCCATGTAAGGACTTTAATTCAATCAGCAGCACCAAAAAGAAAAAAGAAAAATTAAGTCAAATAAAAACAATTATTGTAATTAAATCAACCTAAGTCCCTATTTTAAAACCCTTAATTCAGGAATATAGGAAGCTATCATACTTTAAGTACACTAGTCCATGAGCTGCCCAAACCCAGGCCTGTGTTGACTGACTCTAGGACAGCCTTGTCAGCTTGTCATGAACAGAATCACTGAGAAAAAGCACTTTCGCAATAAGATGACACAAAGGGCAGGTGAAAGGCCAGATGAAAGATATCAAAGTGACTGATCAACAGGCTGGGCCACAAAGCCCTGAGAGAGCTGTCCAAGAAGAGAGAGGGAACCAGCCAGCCAGGGAGTGTGTGTACCTCCCCACTTACTCGGATGCGTTTGGCCCTGCGCATGTCATCGGCTGTCAAAGAAGTCTGGGTAGGCACTAGGCTCTCCTCTTGTTGTGGCTGCAGGTGCAAGGTGTGAGTTTCTGGTTCCTGCTCCAGAGAAGACGGGGTTTCTTGTGGCAGCTGAGTGATTGGGATTGACGCTTGTTCTGGTTGATCTAGTCCATTCAGAGCAGCCGGTTCAGCCTCATCAAACTGCTCCTTTGTGGGGAAATGCAGCAAGTCCTGAATTTTGCAAACACCAGGAATTACCACCCTATCTACATAAAGATCAGTGATACAGATGCTATTTATTAGCTCAACTTTAGAATTAGTGGTATTCATTTACTTAAGAGATAGGGTCTAGCTACATTTTCTAGGCTGGCCCCAAACTCCTAGGCTCAAGCAGTCCTTCTTCTATCAGCTTTCTGAGTGGCTAGTACTATGGAACATGGCACCAAACCCAGCTATGACGTTTTAAAAAATGAGTAGCATTATGGTGCTGAAATAATACTCTCTCTCTGAGAAAGTTAACAAACAGGTGAACGTGTCCAGAATGCAAAAACTGTAAAGCATCCCTGGTCATAAAAAAAGGAAACTGATACAATTTTTCTGGGGTATCAATTATTCTAATGGTTTGAGTTAATTAAACAAAGCCTTCCTAGAATACCTCCAGCCAGTTTTAAATTTTTAGTACAGTAAAGTTAAATGTGTACTGTAAGTAACACTTGAAAATGTGCTCCTTGTCCTATTCCAATCCCGCTTTAGTTAACAGGACAACACTCTAGTAAGACAGAATTATAAACAGCGTCACAGCTGAGTGTGGACAGGAGCTCCTCAGAGCCCAGTACCTGTGTTCCATCGTCACTCTTTTCCCCATTTTCACTGGTGATTTCCAAACGGATAAATTTTGGAGGACGCCCAGGCCGACGACCAGGACCAAATCTCCTCTTGCCTCGACCCCTTCCTCTGCCTCTTGTTCTGGGAACAAGAGATCCAGTTACAGATAGTCACCACTTGGCACCCCATACTTTATTCCCTCAGAGTTCTTTCAAGCATCAAGTTTGAGCTCCACGATTTATCACTTCCTTGGTTCTTCTCTTTGATAGAAAGCACTGTTATGCTAATGTGTGCCTTCTACACTGCCCAGCTTTTCTCTACAGCACAGAGATGTCATAAAATTATTGGGAGGAAATAAGAGCTATAAAAATAAAAGTACTAGCCGGGCGGTGGTGGTGCATGCCTTTAATCCCAGCACTTGGGAGGCAGAGGCAGGCAGATTTCTGAGTTCGAGGCCAGCCTGGTCTACAGAGTGAGCTCCAGGACAGCCAGGGCTATACAGAGAAATCCTGTCTCAAAAAAAACAGAAAAAATAAAAAATAAAAAAATAAAAGCACTGATAACTCTTTGCTTCTGAAAGGAGGTGAGAAATGCAAACAGGACAGACTGGGCTTGTCCCATGGCCTCTCCCACGATTCAGTTCATTCTTCTTTCTCCTTTGCATCAGCTTTTACTCCTTCCCAGAAATGTGGCTAAATTCAACTAACAGTCTTGTTTTCCACAGCTTTCTAGACAGTACAAACAAATTTCTAACCCAACTGTTCCATAACAGGCCAAGTAACCACCAATTAAAATAGTCCCTTTTAACTGATTACAAATACACAAAGCACCCCTATCAGATGAGACTCCTGGGCTAGGGTTGTAGCTCAGTTGGTAAAGTGCTTGTCTAGCATCCCCAGGACTGCATAGGCCAGATGTGGTGGCATACAATTCTAATTTCATCACTCTGAAAGCAAAAGGGAAAAATCAGAAGTTCAAGATCATCCTCAGCTGCATACATAGCAAGTTTGAGGCCAGCCTGGACCACATCAAACCATATCTCAAAACACTGAGAGAGGAGGGAGAGAGGGAGAGGGAGAGTAAGGAGGAAGGGAAGGGGAACAAAGAGGAAGAGGGGGAGAGAAAAGGGGAAAGGGAAAAGGAGGGAGGAGGAGGGGAAGAGAGAGAGAGAGAGAGAGAGAGAGAGAGAGAGAGAGAGAGAGAGAGAGAGAGAGTGAGAGTTGAGATTGCATTACAGTCAGCAGCAGTAGAGCACTTGCCCAGCATGTATGAGGCCCTGACTAAGGCAAGAAGCAGGGCAGGTAGACTCAGAAAGAACATCATACATTTATACAGCTTGACTGTCAAGCTGACTAGACTGAGAAGCACCCGGGACACTAGCAAAGCACACCTTTGTGTGTGTGACTGTTTCCAGAGAGAGTGCTCTAAATGCAGGCAGTACCATCTCACATATTGGGGATCTCGATGTTCTAAGGAAGAGAAAGCCACTAGCACAGGAGTCATTTGCTGCTGTCCAGCATTGAGGTAAGCAGCTCTGCTCTGCCAGGCCCTTTCCACCACAAGAACAAAATAATCCTCTCCCCCTTGGATTATTTTCTCATAGCGATGAAGAGCTAATACATGTGTGGCATGCATATAACATCTATCAGATCATGTTTCACTCTTCTATTCAGTTATTTAACAAATACACACTTTCCAGGAATTTTTTTCTATTTGCTTTTTTTCTGAGATATCGTACTACATTGCCCAGGCTGGCCCCAAACTCCTGAGCTGAAGGGATCATCCTATCCTGCCTCTGTCTCCAACTGACCTGTGACTACAGGTATCTAACACCTCACCTGGACTTCAGGAACTTTTAAAAGAGTCTATTTTTTATGGAAAATTCTGAATATAGGCAAATGGAGAGAAAAAGAATAAGCCAATATATTGATACTCAACTTTAAGACTTACTTATGACCAAGTTTATGTTATCTTTATTCCCCCTACCTCCTCACAAATTACTCATTAGGTTCCTTTATCTGAAAATACTTCAGTAAGCATCTCTGAATCTTAACACCTCTTGCATAAATATAAAATGTCATTACTACACCTAAAAACATGACAGTTGCTCATGACTAATAGTAGCTAGTGAACATTTTACCTATGTGTCATACATTATGCTAAGCACTGAAGACATCTCAACGGTTCTTACCCTTGGAGATTGGGTAGAGCCTGTAGGCAAGCAAACCAAAAGTCATAATGTAGTATTAAAATGCTACAGTGAAGCCATGTACACACTTTTAGGGATATTCAAGCATGAGAGACTGGAATCTCGTTGCACTGTCCCCTCCCAAGATACTCACCCCCATGGTCCTATACTAGCCCTTGTCATCTTAGTACAAAGCTCCCTTATCCCTAATCCATACATCATCCACCAGAAAGTATCTCTCTGTTCTTCAGATCACGCCATCTAGTACCTGGATCTAGCTTCTCGGGCCTCCTTCCATCCTTGCCCTTTCTTCTTCCTCTGCAGCAAACTCTCTCAGGACAATCATCATAATCACTGTTTGCTTTTGGTCCCCACCCCTATTGCCACTTCTTTATTCTCTGTGTGTTGAGGTGTGTAATTAAGCCATAACCTGTGTCATTAAGCTCCCTGCCCTATCTCTACCAGTCTTCCCGTGGCTGGAAAACACCACACACACTTGCTGTGATCGCTTTCCTACTTTGTGTCCCTGAATCCAAGGTGGGCACTAAGTATTGCAGGCAATTACATGGCTTCTCCCTAGAACATCTTCTTTCCCGTCTTCTTAAATGTGGTCTTATGCCAGCACCTATTTCTCCAAACCCTATAGAAGTGGCCCTGTCCCATTACTACTGCCCTTTTCTGAGGAAGGCGCATCCTCCATTTGACCTGTTGAATAACTTCTATCGAGACTCGGTTTTCATTCTTACCCCAGAATTAGCTAGAGTAATATTCTCATTTTTATCCAGAATGGTCTTCTGAAACCCCAACATCACAGTGTTCTCTGACCAGGACTTCCTAAAGATCACCTGTTACACTTAAAGTTTAAACTTTGTACCATCTCCCAGTGGCGCTATTGGACCTGGCCACTGCCTCTTCTACCTTCCATGACTGTCCCCTGTCTCTTTTTAATATAGTGGAATTAAGTATATAACAAATCATAGTATTCAGAAAAAATATGAAAATCAGAGATGCATATTACTTTAAATGTATATGCTGTCTTCAGGATTCTTGATTCAGGGGCTGGAACAATGCCTTAGTGGTTAAGAACATTGACTACTCTTCTACAGGACCCAGGTTCAATCCCCAACACCTACATGGCTGCTAATAATGATCTGTAACTCCAATCCCAGATGATCCGACACCCTCTTCTGGGCTCCACCAGTGCACACATACAATTCACAGACATGCATTCGGGCAAACCACCCACTGATATGAAATAAAAATAACAAGTAATTAAAAAAAATCCCAATTCAGAATCTAGTTAAAGGAGAGTTAACTGGGGGTAAAAGGATCTCTTAATATAGATGTGGGTTATTCTGGAAAAAAATAAATAGCAAGTAAAAAAGGCATGTCCCTAAGGTATTCAGCAGCCTACCTGGTTACCTGTACATACACGCATCTGTGTATGTATGTACGTACACACATACATGCACACACTCACTCACATACACACACACACACACACACTCACTCACTTTCACACATTCACAAATGATTTCAAGACACCAATAACCCAGTGTGTGGTCCTTGCCTCCCGAGCCCACCTGGTAAACACATCCAGCTTCTCATCATGAGAATTGAGATGCTGCTGCAGCTGCTCTGAGCTGACAAACCGCCGATTGCACTCATAGCACGGCCAATTCTTCTCTTGCTCTCGGAGAACTGTAGCCGGGGAAGAGAAATCATAATTTATGGCTGGTGCTCAACAGACACAAGGAAGATGCAGTGCCTGCTATCTCCTCCACTCTTATCTCACTGTAGACAGTAGCTGCTATTTGTATTTATTTCTTGCTATAAAAACAAAGGCTAAAATTTGTCAGAGAAGTGGATTTTAAGATCTTATTTTTTAAGCATTCATATATGACATCAAAAGACTCACACTCTTAAACCACCCTCTCTCACCCCCTCAACACATAAAAAATTGAAGGAGATCTTTACTTAGATAACTTCTTGTTTCGGATCCAAGTTTCATAATTAAGGATATATCTCATCACAACAAAAGTCAGTGGTCAATACAATCTAACAAAATGTCCAACCTTATCTTCAAAGGCTGAATATATGCATACCCCATGGCCCAGCATCAACTCCTTTCCCAGCTGTACACCCAATCAGAGTGTGCACAGATGCCTCCTAAAACACATGCATAAGAAGATATACAGGTACAGTCTTGCCCACAGTTGTATGATGGAAAAAGATCTGATAGCCTTTATGCCTGGTCCTTTGGAGGTAAGCTCTAAGCCACTGGAATCTCCTGGATGATAGGAGGTCCTTTGTTATTCATTGGGAGTCCTTCATCCTACCTGACTTTATTCTGACATGTCTTAAGGTTGAAGCTGCTGTGGAGAGAAAAATGTGGCCTTGTGATTAGATGGTTGGTGTTTTGAGCTTCTGATGTGTCTTACATCAGGAGGGAAGGGAAGCTGGAGACTGAGTTCAATCACATGGCCAACCACTCCATTAGTCACGCCTATGTAATAAAGCTTCAGTAAAAGCTCTGGACAACAAAGCTGAGCCTATGTTTAGGTTCAATAGTTCAGTGCCCCAGGAAGGCTTATGTCCTGAGGAGACATACGTCATTCTAAGATGTATGTCTCTGCTCTTGGCTGGTTCTGATGTATATCTTTTATTATAAAACTCTAATCACTCATTTTAGTATCTTCTTGGGTCCCAAAAGTCACTCTAATAAATTATGAAGCCTGCAGGGGTATGGGGAGTCCCTAAATTGTGGATATTAGAATGAGTGGCATGGGAATCTCAGAATCCTGTATCTCCTGTCTAAAGTGAGTCTTATGGAAGACCACGCCTTTAACTGATGAGATGTTATCTAATTCTGGGTACTTAACACCATAATGACATCACACAACTAAATCTATAACAAGGTAGACAAACAGTCATGAGTGGAGTACCCAACAGCAATGGTAATATACAAATTTACATAAACAACATGGATGCATCTCAAAACTATGTTCACCTAGAGGTTGGGAGTTTGGCTTAGTGGTAGAATGTTTGCTGAGTAAGTCCAAGGCCATAGGTTCAGTTCCCAGCTCCAAAAACAAAGAAAACACTATGTTCAAGCAAAAGATGCCCAAACACACACACAAAAAAAAATGTATGTTATCATATCATCCTGTTCATACACAATTCAGTAATAAGCAATTAGTGTGTAATATTAGAAATCAAGACAGTACACTTGGGGATCTGCACAGGTGTGTTCCTGTGAAAATTAACCAAGCTGTATACACTTCATTATTTGTGTATCTCTCTGTAGGTAAAATATATTTCAATCACATTCACATTAAAAAAAAACAAGGTCAGTGCTGGCTTTGCTATATATTCAGATATGATTAATTCCAGATAAGAATCTTCCTCTGACACTAAGGTGCTAATTTGATAGCAGGAAGTTTTCATTATATTAAATACTATTCTCTAGCACTAGAAATGTAAACCTGTAATTTGACCCTAGGATTAAATGGAGATGTGTATCTCTGAGAAACCTACTCTCGTATTGTGTGAGATACACTGAGATGGAAAAACCAGATGCTACGTGTAAAAATGGCACACACAAAAGCCCAAGCACCTTTCCTTTCTTCTTCAGATATGTCATGAATTTTCTGATTCACGAACTCAGCGTAGGATGCAGCGTACCACACCTAGAAGAACCAAGGACATCATTAAGAACCAACAGACATCACCAGCTGTGCTTTGCTTGCCTAAATTACTTCTCCTGCTTACACAAAACAATTTGGGCATTTCATTAACATATTCATTAACAGCAACAGCCACACTATGTGCCTCCACAATACCCATCTGGCAGATGACCCATAAGGCATCAAGGATCCAGATGCACTGCCTGTTTCTTTCTTCCTTCTTAAAAACTAATCTCGTTATAAATTCACAAGGCTTAAATTCATAGTATCTTTACCTAAATAAAATAGCCTTTTAAAACTCTACATTTAAATATGGGTTTTTATACAGCTGTAATCATAGACACTGTCACTCAGGTTAGTGATGGGATCTCAGATAGGACTGTATCAAACGTTCCTGTTCCCCAGTCTTCCTACCCACTTCTGCTTCTGTTTCCTCTCCCTTGGCTATCTTCAGCCCTGTCTACAAAACTTCCACATGTTGCTACTGCTCGAAGCTTAGTCTAAGCCCTGACTCTTCTTATTTTCTTTCTGGTGTCACACCCATTTTCAAACAACTCTATGCTGATAACTAACTACTAAATCTTTCTTTTACTTTAGTTTCCCCACTAGAGTCTCATATATTCCCAGGCTGACCTCAAACTCAGTAAGTAGTTGAGAATGGCCTTGACTTTCTGGTCCTCCTGTTTTTACGTCCTAAATGCTAGGATTATAGGATTATGTACCATACATAGTTTATGCAGGATTGAAGGTTGAGGCCAGGAACCTGTGCATGTATCCCCAGCCTTTTTAAAGTTTTATTTTTAGACAAGATTTTACTAAGTTGCTCAGACTGGCCTCCAACTTATAACTCTCCTGCCTCAGCCTGTTGAGTAGCTATGACTACAGGTGTGTACTACCATGCTCAGATTTTATCCCTAATATTTAGGCAAGAATGGTTTTGCTGTTGTTTTGATTTTAAAGTGCTGGGAATGCCACCCTCTGCATGTGCTAGCAAACTGCTCTACCACTGCCAGAACTTGCCATCTCAAATTTTCAATTTCCTACCTCCCAACAGGTACTCAGACATAAAACCTAAAACATGTCTTCTGTTTCTCCACTTGTTTCAGTAATCTTTAGCAAGGACCGTCCTCAGATGTGACACACTACCTGTTCAGTGTTTAAGCTACCGGAATCGTGACAACACCATCTCTTGCCTAGATCACCACCTGGCCTTCTAACTAGCCTTTCTTCTTCCTTGCAATTCCCAGCCACAATGGTGGTGGTGGTGATCATCTTCCTCCTCCTCCTCCTCCTCCTCCTCCTCCTCCTCCTCCTCTTCTTCTTCTTCTCTTCCTCCTCCTCCTCTTCCTCCTTCTTCTTCTTGTGATGTTTATTTTATATGTATGAGTATTTTATCTTCATATCACATGTGCCTTGCCTGAAAGGATTATCAAAAACCCTGGAACTGATGATGGTTATGAGCCATCATGTGGCTGCTTGAAATTGAGCCTGGCTCCCCTGCAAGAACAGCAAGCACTCTTAACCTCTGAACCATCTCTCCAGTCCCATGGAGGTTTTCTTAAAACAAAACTGGATCTTGCTGTATGGGTTTCCATTTGACTTCTCGTTTTACGATAAATCTGAAAGGCTGAGTGATGATCCCCAGAGAACTCTGTGATGTCTCCAATACATCGATCGCTACATACTTTAGACCTGTCACTACCCACCAATGGGCCAAGATGGCTTGCTCTTGGCTACCTGAGCATGCAGTGTACTTTCCAGCCGGGAATGTAGTGTGGTGTTGGTCCCTCTAATTTTGCCATCCTTGGCCTTCACCTCTTAACAAGACTTCTATCCAGCATATCCAAATCGGTCCCTATCCTGTTACTAGCTCTCTTTGCACTATGACACTTACTCATTTGATACTGTTTGTTTTACATCTTTCTGTTCACCTCTCCCTTAGATTCAAGTCTGCTAAACACAGGGAAAGCCTGATTTTTCTTAATGTAGGAAACACACCTGAAGTTCAATATGTACTAACTTCTAAATAAATTAATCATGCATAATTTTTATGTGCATTAACTATATATGAGTGTAGTTGTATAGGAAGACTTCTGTAGAACAACGTTCTATAGACTCTGTGTTCCACAATTCCTTAACTATGCCCCTCTGGTTATATTACTTTATGAAGTTTGTCCTTTTCCTATTACAAATTCTGTCTGAATGCATCAGTTCCAAGACATATGTTTTTCCATTTCAGAAATCAGAATATAGCTGGGCATAGTGGCATACATCTAGAACCTCAGCACTTTGGAGAGGATAAAGCAAGGCTGCACAAAACAAACTGCCTCAACAAAACAAAACAACCCCTCCCAAACCAACCCCCCACCCCCAAAATTGGGCACCTTTTGTTCTTGGAAGAGGAATCAGAAGGTATCATACTCATACTCTGGTACCCACCAGCCTTCATGCAACTTATGTCAGTAGCCTGCTTCTCACATCTGCACAGACCTGGCCTGGCCCTGTGGGTTGTCCCCACCTCCTACTGGGCTCAGAGACTGGTAAGCAATTGCTAAGCAATGCAAGTGAAGACTGGAGGGAAAAAAAAAAAAAAACCAAAAAAAAAAAAAAAAAAAAAACCTTGTCATTTCCCTCCAGAAGAGAAATTTCAAAGGTTGGTGAGCATCTTAGAGGTCTTGCTAAGACACTAAGCAGAACTGTCAAAGTTCCTGCTGATGTGATCAGAAAGCTCATTAATTTCCATGTGCTGCTCATTTCAGAATAAATGCAAACCAACAGGACAGTGCAGTGTCCAGACTTGCAAACAGAATACCAGTGATGTGGGGAAAATACCCTAGAAACAAGAATGTAACACTTACTTTGAAAATACTCAGGGTGTCCAGCATGGTGGGATAACCTGAAATCCCAGCACTGGGAGGCTAAGACAAGATAGCTAGTTTGAAGACAGCCTGGGCTACATAGAGAGTTCCAGGCCAGCCAGGCCTACATAGTAAGACCTTATCTTTAAAAAAAAAAAAAAAAAAAAAGTACTTGGGGATAACTGTGCTTTGTTACTCATACACCAGTGGAACATAATATTTAATTGCACTCTAATCAAATGTAAAGTAGCTCCTTTGATGATGATGAAACAATCATTTTATTGATTTCATGAATGGACTACAATAGAAAAACTGACGGCAATTTTCCTAATGGAGCATCTTAAATAGCTGTCATGTCTTAGAGTCAGGAACTACAGAATTACCATGTTCTCATAGATCTAGTTCTTTCTTTTTTTACAGCTGTTTCCTCAGATTACCTTCAAGAGATCTTGAACATTTTTTGTATTGGTTCAGAAATATTCATATCCTATAACGTAATATAATTCTGTAATCAAAGTCTCTGCTTTATTTTGTTATTGTTATGGGTGGTGGTGTGTGTATACACCCGCACAAGTGCAGGGATATGTGGACTAAGAAGTAAGGAGAAAGTGTCTCTTAGGAGTTGGTTCTCTATTGCCACCTTGTGGATCCAGGGACTGAACTCAAGTCATCAGGTAGTGCCTGTCTCTACCCGCTGAACCATCTCACAAGCCCTGGTTTAAAAACCTTCACCTTCTTTTTCTGCTAATTTAAACCAACAAAGACAGTAACTCATTCTTTGCTGGGTTTTATGTCTGTCTTCTTCAATGTTGAGGATTCGCCCAGAGTGCCACACATAGCAGGCAAGCCTTCTCCCTTTACACATTTTTTGAATTATTGAGAAATTATTTAAACATGTCTTTACTATTTGTTTCTTCCAATTAAGCTCTATTCCTACAGCCCCCTACCAGCATCTAGTGAGGGCGAACATACAAAGCCCTATTCCTGCTTTCACATCCAAATAGGTGTCTGCATTACAAAGACCTCTTCCATTAAACTGCTTCCTTTTTATCTCTTTTGGTTGGTTGGTTGAGCTCGCTCGCTCGCTCTCTCTCTCTCTCTCTCTCTCTCTCTCTCTCTCTCTCTCTCTTTCTTCCTCTCTCTCTCTGTCAAGCAGGGGTCTCAGCATGTAGTTCTGGCTGCCCTATAACTACCTATGCAGAGCAGCCTGGCACTGAACTCTGCCTCCCACTGCTGAGATTAAAGCTATGCACCACCATGTCCAGCCTTGCTTTGTTCCTTGTACTGCTAGGCATCAATACCAGAGTACTACCTATGCTGGGCAAGTTCTGTACACCTGAGCCAGGTTCCTAGCCTTGGCATTGATTACATCTTACTGTTCTTATTTGGATCTGCCCATCATCACCCCCACAGTTCCATCTGCTATTTCAAAGAGAAAGAGAACTGGGAATGCAGCTCAGCAGCTCTCTACCCAGGCCCAGGTGAGAGGGATGAGGGAGAGTGGGTGACACATCTTTCCATAACTAAGAAGCGTTCTTTTCACTCTTTTCAGGTCTTTCTCTTTATTACAAAATGTACTGGAAGCTACACTTGGTAGTACAGACCTGTAATCTCAACAGCTAGGAGACGGAAGCAGGAGATCAGGGATTCAAGGTTACTCCTTAGATACATAGTGTGAGTTAGAAGCCAGCCAGAACTACGGAAGGCCCTGTCTCTTATGGTTCCCAACAGATGGACCAAAATTCAGTGGATGCCCACCCCCACAGCACAAACCAGAACTCAATGTGTTATTAATTGTTTTTAAAGGATACAAATTTGGGGGTTAGGAAGATGTGGGCAGCTCTGGGATGAGTTAATGGGAAGAAGTGGGAGTAACTATGACCAAAATGCATGGCATGAAATTACCAAAGAATTAATAAAAATATTTTTAAAGACCCTAACGTAAAACAGACAAAACTTCTGTATCAGTTGAGCACAGTGGAACATGCCTATAATATTAGTACAAGGGAGACTAGGCTAGGTACGTTTAAATTTAAGGGCAGCCTGAGCTGTACAGGGAGATCCACAGGCCTGGGGTGTAGCTGAGTGGGCGACTGTCATGTAAAAGCATGGAAATTCACCCCACGAAAAACAAAAACAAAAAAACCAGAATGTTCATGGCATACAGAATCATAGCACAGTTTTTATTATGTCATTGAGTTCATAAATAAATTCTAACAATTATCCTCAAAAATTATTTCTGAAATCAGAAGCCAGCACATAAAATTCTTTGAAAAAATTAAATTTTTAGATAAGAAAAGAAGTCTTAGGCATACATCTGAATCTCAGTTTATAAAATCTCCCATTTCACAAGTAACTCTTCCTCAGTACATACACTGGCATTGGCAACATCAGCAACCCTACCACGGTCACCAGTCTTCCCCCACAGTGAGGGCCTCACCCCATGCTTCACACCCTGGTGTAAGCCCCTGACGAACATAAAAATGGCCTAGTCCCATTCTGTTTCATTGACAAGATTATTAAAAGTCTACAGTGCACATTATAGCCAGCCCTGCTTGTTCAGGGTTCCACCAGCAACAGAGTGAAAATACATGAATAACATCACCATCTGTACTGAAGCCCATACATTAGGCATAATGACTATTTACACAACATTTATATTGCAGTAGATATTATAAATAGCCTAGAAAGTATCTGAAATGTGTGGACATGCATGGGCTCTATGCACATACATATGTAAGAGATTTGAGCATCCACAGATTTTTGTAACCATGAAGGGGAGGGATCCTGGAAGCAACAGGAAGGCTGAAGTCACTCAATAATAGAGGAATTATCAGGAAAGGATCCTTTTATAGGAAAGAGCCCTAATCATCACCCTGGCTGGCAGGCAGCTGCAGATCCAGTTCTGTACCTTCAGTTCCTGCTTGGGCTCCACGTTCTTTATTGTTGTATAATACACATGGTGGCCATATTGATAAGCTACCAGGTTCTGTTCTAGGTGGTTCTGGGCTGGGCGTACAAACATCATCCAGTTACAAAGGGTCTCATCGGACAACTCAAACCACAGGTCTTCATGCAAATCCCTGTCTTTTCTGTCTCCTTTATCAAGAGAAACCTGTAACCAAAGAGAAGGTAAAGTGAACTGGGGTCCTCGAGAAAAGCAAAACATATTAACTGCTGAGCCATCCCTCCAGCCCTGATGAAGCATGCTTTTCTTTTAAATATATTTTTATTTTGTTTTGTGAATGTGCCTGAGTGTTTGTCTGTGCATCACATATACACAGGAACCCACAGAAGTCAGAAGAAGCATCAGATTCCCTGGAACTGTAGTTATAGATGGTTGTGAGCTGCCATGTAGGTGCTGGGAACAAAAGCCTGTTTCTCTGTTGTTAAGAGGAGAAAGTTCTCTTAAGTGATGAACCATGTCCACCTCTGCCATTCCCTGTGAACTATTCTTTAACACAAAGAACACCACAGGTCAGACCCATTCCAAGACTCAAAAATATCTAAGTGCAACTGTTCCAGCACACACAGCCACAGACGTGTCCCTATTCTGGTTAAAGTCTTTCTTTTGGACACAAGGTCTGGATGTGTAGCCCAGGCTACCCTGGAATTCACAATCCTCCTGCCTCAGCCTCACAATTGCTGGGATTATAGGTGTGTGCCACCACACCAGCTCTAAAATGCTTCTTTTTTTTTTTTTTCAGATAGGTTCTCACATAGCCCAGGATGGCCTCAAACCCACTATGTAGTCAAGGATGACCTTTAACTTTGAGCCTCCTGTCTCTCCCTCTTGAATGCTGGGATTACAGCATTCAAGGGATGAGCGTTTGACAAAGTTGCCTCTCCCCACCATCATTTTGTTTAGAAGAGAAAATGTGTTAGCATGGTGGCATGCACCTTTCTTTCATCACAGCACTTGAAAGCAGGGGGATCTCTGTAAGTTTGAGGCTAGGTTGGTCTACATAGAGAGTTCTAGTACAGCCAGGGCTATATAAAAAGGCTCTATCTCAAAAATAAATAAATAAAATAAACAAAAGAGAAAGTATATCAAGCCCCCTATTAACTTTACGCTCTCCCTGGTCCCCAAAAAATTCATGTGAGAATCCTATAACCCTAATTGCTCAGATGTGACTCCATTGGAGTCAAGACCTCTAAAGGGGTGACTAGGCTAACATGGCATCATCAGGGCCGGCTGTAATCTAGTAAGAGGGAATATAAACACAAACATATGGGTGGGAAAAACTGCCTGCTAACATCTTTGTCTTGGCCTGGCAGACTTCAGAGCTTGAGAAATACATTTCCATTATTTAAGCTACTCACAGGTACATGCAGTGTGCACATGTGTGTGCATGTTTGTGAAGACCAAAGCATGAAACTGGGAATCTTTTTTTTTTGAGACAGATTTTCTCTGTGTAGCCATGACTATCCTGGAACTAGCTCTGTAGACTAGGCTAGCCTGTAACTCAGAAATCAGCCAGGATTAGGCGTGTGCCACTGCCCGGCTTCCTTAATTCTTCATTCTCCCTAAAGCATCTTTCTGATTCAGTCTAGCTAGCCAGCTCCAAGGATCCTGTCTCCATTTTCAGATTACTGGAATGACAGGTGGGCCACCACACCTACTAGGCTTTTGGTTGTTGTTGTTGCTGTTAGTATTATTTATTTTATATGTGTTAGTGTTTTGCCTCCATATATGTGTACCACATGCATGCCTGGTGCATGTAGATCCCAGAAGGCAGCACTGGATCACTTAGGACTAGAGTTCTACATCTTATGAGCTGCCATATGGGTGCTGAGAAGCCGAACTCTGCTCCTGTCTTACATGGCAAGTGTTGTGTCTCCCTCAAATCATCCTCCATTGTTTTAAATTGAAATTACTTATAGCTCCCCAAAACTACCTATCTCCAAAAACTTATGCAATGTCTTAAGCAGATGCCATTAACATCTCTAGTTTACTAAGAACACAGAGCATGCTTCCATATAAGCAACCTAAAGCATGAAAACAAAACTAGCAAATAGCTGGTATGATCTGGAAAAAAGAGACTGGGGGAGAAAATATAAGTGCCTGTTGGAAAGTCTTAACAGAACAAGCGCAGTGGGAGAAAGCCCAAGTTACCTTGAGATGAATGTAGCAGTCTTTCAGCTCCGATCCCCTGACCAGTGGCCCCTCCACTGGGCCAAACTGGGTGCGCTTGGGAATCCGCCTTTTGGAGAATACTCCCCCAAGGAACCTATCTATGTAGAGGACCAGAGGCAGACTCGCTCTTGCCCGGGTAAGCACAGGCCGGTTAGGGATTGGATGCAAGGGGCCATGCTTTGGGCACACAGAAGAATGTGCATTGTTACACTCCTCACACCCTGCAAGAGAAAGAAGGCTTAAAGAAAAGTCAAATGCCTCGAAGCCTCTTGAACTAATGAAAAAGGTGCTGACTTAAAAATAATCCAAAATCTAAGTTTTCAAGCCAAATTCAGTTAACTCCTACAAGGATGCTAGCAATCCACTATAAAGTATTGCCTTTCATAGCCCAGTGAGAATGCTGTAATTTCCTCCCTAAAATCATGCCTGCTAAAAGTAATATGCAACCTCATGACAATTCCCTGCTGAATAGTGGTTCCAAACAGTGGACACAATTTAAAAATCAATTATAAGAAAACAATGAAAAGCTTGTTAGTTAGACATTGCAAAATCTGATGAGATAAAATTATTTTAATAAAGCTGTTATGGGATCAACTCTGACAATACAGTTTAACCTACTTCCTCCCAGTGAGTTTGAGAAGCTATATAACACAGGGACAGTCTAAGGCAAACAGAGAATGCTATTCACTTCAGGCTGCACAGCCTGAGGATCCTCAGGATCCCATCTTTCTTACTCAGGCAGCACCATTAGTCCAGTCCTGGTGGGACATACATTTTCAGCAGATGTTAGAATTCTGCATTTGCCTCAAGCCAGGAATGCTCACTCCCTTTTCAAGAGGAGCCCAGAAGAGATACTCAGAGTCACAAATCAGAGACAAGTAACCAGGCCAAGCAGAGTTCAGAGTCATCACACTCCTTCCCCTCCAGCTACGTGGTGACCTGGTTTAGGTATTTGAAATTTCCACAATTCTCAAATAATCCAGAGTGACTTTGTATTAATATTTATAAGATAAATAAATTTCAGTGCATTTGATTAAGAAGCTGCCTTGAGAACTTATTCAAAGAAAAACAAAACCAAGTTCTGTGTTACATGGGGCTTAGATATGGAGCTGAGTACTGCCCCAACCAGACATGAAGGTGGTGCAAAGCCACAAACTTGCTCACTCAGGAGAATGAGGTCAGTCTGCCACGTGGGTATGAAAAGCCACAGAAAGAAACAATGGACCGGAAGGTAAACATGGAAGCCTGAGCAGGCAGGGTAGAAGGACAATTCAAGGTACCACATCCCACCCAGAGCTGGAGTCAGCTCTCCAGGCACTCAAAGTTATGACCTTCAGAAAGAAGCCAGCCTAGAAAGGTTGTAGAGTGCATCTGTGCAGCAACACCTGAAAGCCTGTAAGTACTCTTAAACATTCCATGAACGAGACAAAGCAACACAGTGCAGAGGCCCGATCTAGGCCTCCAGAGTGGATGGATGCCTGGTTGCCCACTCACTTGACCACTCATTAACCTTTTCTGGGTTTCAGATCCTTTATCAGTAAAAACAAAAAACAAGAGTCAGGACCTCCCTCCTAGGACTGCTGGGAAGACAGAGAGAGATGATGTGCCAGTGTGTGAGACCAGCAATTGTTGTGCACATGACCACACTTGCATACATCTTCCCAGCAGAATCCAGTGCCTGCACTTACACAAATCATGGGGGTCAAAAGGCCGGGGTGGGTCAGGCTGCCAGTCATCCACATCCGTGTCTTCAGCATCCTCTTCCTCCTCTTCCTCTGTATCCTCATCCTCATCCTCTTCTTCTTCCTCTTCCTCTTTTCCATCTAGTCTGGCAATTGGGTTCTGCAGAGTTGCCAGAGGGTCGGAACCATCCACACTCTCAATGGAAGGCAGCACCTGGTTATGTACAGGTAATGAGGCTTGGACAGAAGCTTAAGGGACAAAGCAAGCAGGCATCTCTTTTAAGCAAACTAGAACCCACATGCATGCACAACAAATACACTCTTGACAGAACATATTTTTTTATGCTAGTTTCCTGCAAGGCTCTGGAAAAAATAGCTTTTATCCATAGGCAACTTTATCCAAGAGTCTAATTTCCTTTCAGATGTTTAATGCCCTAGGCTTTTAAGCTCAATTCTCCTTTCTCACCTTCTGCCTCATATCTGGGCAGACTGAGACAACTTTGACACATACCAATAAGAGGTTCAAATCTAGTTCCACTCCTTGCTTGCACAAGACATTTCACATTGGCTTAATGGACCTGCCCTACCTCCCAAGAGATTTCAGGTGCATGCAAAACATCTTTCCATTGCCTCCTGCAGGGGTTGCTTGTGAAATATTCAGTCTTTTCATCTGAATTAAATCTGGGGCAAGGGTTCCTCCTTCCTTCTAAAAATGACTATATCACGCAGGAAAAGAAACATATGGCTTTTTCAATTACTTTGCTTTTCTAAGAACTTGTGCTTGTGTGATGTATACACATGTAAGTGCATGAGTAGGTACACTTGCCTCTCTGTGCATATATGCAAGTCAGATATCAACATTGGATTGTTGCTTTTTTATCACTTTCCATTTTTTAATCATTATTACGTATATGTCCATGAATGCAGGTGCCCACAGAGGCCAGAGGTGCTGGGTCCCCTAGGAGCTGGAGTTATAAATAGTTGTGAGTCACCTATATGAGTGTTGGGATATGAACTAGGATCCTCTAGTGGAGTAGTATATGCTCTTAACCACTGAGCCATCTCTCCTGCCAAATTTTATTTTTCGATGAAAGGTCTATTGCTGACCTGAGCTCCTTAATACAACTACACTGGCTGGCTAACAAGCCCCTGGTATCTGCTTGCTTCTGAGGTTACAGGAGCACAGCACCCCAGCCATTTTTATGTGGGTTCTGAGAATCCACACTCTGGTTCCCATGCTTGTAGAACAAGCATTTTTCCCACTGAGCCATCTCCCCAGCCCAGCTTGTTATTTTTCAAAGACAGAATTACTATGTTGCCCAGACAAGCTCTCCACACTTCTAGACTCAAGTGACCCTCCTGCCTCCTGAGTATCTGGGACTACTCATTCTCCTTAGTGTTTTGTTTTGCTTTGCTTTGCTTTGTTTCCTCTTCAGTGCTGGGAAAGGAAGGGAAAGCTTTCTGCATACAAGGCAAATGTTCTAGCACTAAGTACATCCCCACTTCACTTTTCAAACTAAATACAGGGTATAACACGTGGTTAGGACAACTTCATAGCTGATAGCTCTCCTTTGAAACACTCTGAAAAGCTTAAGTGTTTTGGAAAGAATGAAAGAAGTGAATATTTCCTGTGTTGCAAAAGTCCGTGTTGCAAAGAAGCAAACATTTAGGTGACATACAAGATTAATGTTGCTCATCACACATGCAGAAAATAAATGGCACCCTGCAAAATGAGTGTTACATGCTATCCACGACCCTAAGTTCCCTTTAGCCAGTAATCTCTCTTCTGACCATATTAAACCCATGTCCTTCTTTGTCATTTAACCATGTAACTATGCCTGTTCCTTTTTTCTTTATCTGTCTATATGCTGGTTTCCTCTGCTAGGATGCTATTCCCTTGTCTCCCTTCAAAATGCAACCATGTTCGCCAGCAAGTCACATCTGATACCCTGACCACCCTGTGCTCTGAACATCTACTGCAACCAGAGACACAGTCTGCTTGTCCAACAGCTCTGGGCCTCAATTCCTCCCCAGGTAGCCAGAACATTTGAGAAGAGGATATCATATCTGCTCATACACATCTTCTGCCGGTCAGAACCTAGGCCTTTCCCTCTCAGGTTCAGTAGAAAAGTCTGATGTTTCTGTCATGTGATACAAATATTCAAGAACTCAAAATTCCTAATTTATACCATCATTTTTCATACAGCCAAACTTCCAGCTCCTTGGTCATCTTGCCTGTTTAATTCCCTAGTGAGTTACACATGTCTATGAATGCAGCATCAGACCATACTAGCATATGACAGCCACCTTTCTACTGCCAACTTAGTAGACTAAATTACTTAGTAAACTTAGACTCACAGATATCTGCCACTTCCCACCCATCTTCTTCTCTGATTTTTTAAGTCAATCTTGCTGTGTAGTTCGGGCTGCCTTTTAACTTGTGAGCCTCTTGCCACTGCCTCCTAAAATCTGGAATTATGGGCATATACTACTGTCTTATTTAGGGTTTTATTGCCGTGAACAAACACCATGACCAAAGCAACTCTTATAAGACTTAACTCTTATAATTCTAACATTTAATTGGAGCTGGCTTATAGGTTCAGATGTTCACTCCATTATCATCAAGGTGGGAGCATGGCAGCGTCCAGGCAGGTATGGTGCAGGAGGAGCTGAGAGTTCTACATCTTTATCTGAAGGCTACTAGGAGAAGACTGGTTTCCAGGAAGCTAGGACGGGGGTCTTAAAGCCCACACCCACAGAGACACACCTACTCCAATAAGACTACATCTACTCTGAAAAGACCACACCTCCTAATATGCCAGTCCCTGGGCCAAGTATACACAAAGCATCACAGACACCAAACCTGGCAACTCTTTTTTTAAGAGCCTCACATAGCCAGGCATGTTTATACATGACTTTAATTCCAGTGCTCAGGAAACCGAGACTGGCAGAACTCTGTGAATTCAAGGACAGCCTACTCTATACAATGAGTATGGACAGCCAGGGATATAGAGAGAGACCTTGTCTCAAACAACAAAGAAGCCATCAGAATGGTCTTGAACTCATTCTTGACACCACTTCCCAAGTAGCTGGGATAACAGGCATGCAACTGCATGCTTGGCCTGCGTTTGTCTGAAAATGCAGTCATTTAACCTATACTTTTATACAACATTCTGTCTCTGTACCTTTGAGCCTTTCAGAACTTTTTTTTAAAAATGAGGGAAAGGAAGGGAAGTAGAAAGATACTCTGCCTCAGCCTTGACACAGACTAGATGCCTCCTGAAGGTGGGGAGAGAAAAGGGGAGGGGTGTCTGGCAGTGCAACCTCCTCAGCCTCCTAGGCACATCCTGGAAGGAAGGAAGCCACTTCATTCCCACTCATCACCTTGAGCTGTTTACTACTCCACCTTCCTTAAGCCACTTAAGCTCGATGCCAATGTTAGTGAAGAATGCATAGAGCCTGTTTCTGTGCAGAACTCTCCAAAAAGATGCACCCACAACTCAGAGTTACTCTAAAGCTACGGTGAGACACTTTTTCTCAGTAGATCTGGTAATAATAACTCTGGTTTGGCAAGGTTGCTGCTGGCTTCTCCACACTGCTGAGAAAGCTGGCATGAGAACAGTCATGACAACCTTCCTGTGTCCCACACTTTAGTGTTGGCTTTGAGGACTGATGCTGAAGCAAACGTGAACAGAGAATACACGAAGCATAACAAGCACTGTGAGAAAAGCAGGGAAAGGATCAAAGAGCATTTCTGGGTAAGACCTGTCTATATGTAGACAGAACAGACCTGCACACACAGTAGGATGCTCTGCAACTTAGTTTAATTCAGATTTCCCTGGCATTTACTGAGCTAGGTATGCATCTAAGTTCCTTTGAGATGAAGTACGGCTCAGCCCCCAAGCTGCAGACATGAAATTCAAGTTCTGCCATGACTTGGCTTTTCCACTGTGTCACAATAGCCCCTGTGGAATTTAGTCTATTCAAGGAAGGCAGCAGCCGATGTAAACTCCCCCAACTGTGCCCCTCCTTGAATACTAGGCAACAAGCTAAATACATTGTCTCCGGGTAATGGCCAGGCAGTGGGTAAGTGACCTGCGTTTGTCTGGTTTACACAGAAGGAAAGAATTTAAAAGGAGGCTGCTAGTCCTGTGCATTTCACCGCTGTACACACAGTGAAAGGAAAAAGAATTTGCTAGACTTACTGTACACCTTTTTCTTCCCACTTAATGCCACCCTGTGATTAATTCCAAATCTACACGATGCATTTCAGACACGATTCATCTGAGAAGTTGAAACAGGAAATGACACTGGACAGCAATGAGTAAGACAGAATGGTTTGTGGCTCCTACTGAGTCCAATTATTAAGAAAGCATATTTTCCTCTCTGTGTGTGGGAAGTCACACATGCTAATTTTTGGAAATAAAGAGGAGTGGGTGCTTCCATGTCTGCACACCACTGCTACCTCTCTTAAAGACAAAGGAATGAACACAAAAAAAGAGCTTCAAACCCATCTTTCCACCAGTAACAACAAAGAAAGAAGCCTTTCAGCTAAGGCAGAAAGAAAGAGAACAGGAGAAAGACAGAGACTGAGACTGAAAAGCAGGCAGGCAGGCAGACAGACAGACAGACAGACAGACAGGGGGATGTAGCTCTGTGGTACTGTAGACTCTGCATGTACAAGGCCCTGAACTTGACCCTATCATGACGAACAGGAAGAACAAGCTCAAGCAAGACTCTAAGCCAACACCTATAGTCACACTGTTTTATAATGCCAGGGTTCACAGAGTTATCTAAGTACAATTTTCCTTTCATACAAAACATAAAAGGACCAGATTGTTTCGGGAGATTGGAGAAGATGAAGGGCTGTTTGAGGTGTAAATGGAAACAAGACCATCAATTAAAGCATGCCTGAATAGTAAAACAACAAACTGCCATTTGTCCATCAGATTGTCAAGATCTGGGAGGAATGAAAGCACACTGGCAGAGGCTTGAAATGGGCATCTGCATATAGTTAACAGGAATATAAGCTTCTTCAATATCCAGGAGCAATCTACAAGAATTGTCAAAATGGTTTTCTTAAACAAGACATGGTGGCTCACACGTATAATCCCAGCCCATGAGAGGCTGAGGCAGGAGAACATCATACTCAGGGCCAGCTTAGGCTACAATGCTAAACCACTACCTCAAAAAAAAGAAATGTTTTCTTATTCATAAGAACAAATCTCAAATGCATCAAGCAGAACAGTGCGAGAGAGTCCATATCCTTGCCGTTTAGATTCAGTACACTAACTGATCTCCCACCCTCTTTACTTTCTCTCTAGATTACTGTGAAGTAAAACCTACACGTTTTATAGACTATCATCTTTAAATAGTTCAGTGTGTGTGTGAATACATATTTCTATACAGTGATCTTTATAGTTTACATATTATCATTTCTAAGAACTTACTGTTTTTCAGTGTAATTTAAAATCTTTTAGTGTTGCTATTTTCCCAACTTTCTCCTCTATTTTTTTTCACTTGGTTCAATATAATCAGGATCCAAATGAAAACCATATACAGCATTTATTGGACTGATACATCCAAGTCTCTTAGTTCCCCTCCTCTTCTTTTTCCTTGCGATTATTTGTGGAAAAAGTCAAGGGAAAAAGCTCCACGGTAGAATGCTTGCATCAACAAAAACAAAACAATACAGCAACAAAATCCAGACAGGTTATCTGGATGGGATGTGGCTCTGCTCCTACAGTTTGCCTCACATGCACAGAAGACCTGGGCTCAGTCCCCAGGACACATATAGTAAGTGTGATGATGCATGTCTCTGATCCCAGGAGATGATAGGAAGTGAAGGCAGGAAGATCAGAAGTTCAAAATCACCTAAGGATGCATGAGTTCAAGCCTAGCAGCTTAGAATACATGAGACTCTGTCTCAAAATCAAAGTAAGCAAAAGCCCAAAGCCCCAGGCCATTTCATTTCTCCTGCAGTCCACAGGCTAAATTTCACCATTAAGTCTTAGACATCTTTTGACTCATCCAGCTTGTCTGCCATGCATCCTGTCAGCTGCAGAACACTCAACAGACTTGGTCAGACTCAGGTTTGATTTTCTGGGATGCACACCATATGATACCACACATCAGAAAGCATACAACACTAGGAGACATATAATGAATAGCCATCCCCCTTCAGACATAGGAAAGCTGAGGTACTTGCTACATCTGGTTTGTCCATCAAAACATTCCTAATCAGTCTCTTTCAGGCTGCTACTGACAGCAACTACCCAGAAATATACTTCATCAGGGAAAGAAAAAGGTGCTATGTTTATTGTCTGGAAAAGAAATTTCTCTCTCAAGTAACTGTCAAGGAACTCCATGAGCATAAAATTCAGGATGAAAGGCTTGCCAGCTTTCTGAGGGTATAATGGTGTGAGTGTTCTGTCTCTCCCTTTCCATCTTGCCTTTCTCCTGAAACAAAGCTTAGCCATACGACTCAATCTGGCTTAGAGAGTGTGACCCTCCAGCCTCTGCCTCCCAAGTGCTAGTGTTATATAGAGCCACCAGGTCAACAACAACAACAAAAACAACAACAATAAAAACCCCTATGACCATTCTTTTATTGGAAACTTGAACAAACTTTTTTTAAAAATATTTATTTTATTTATAAGAGTACACTGTTGCTCTCTTCAGATATACCAGAAGAGGGCATTGGATTTCATTACAGATGGTTGTGAGTCACCATGTAGTTGCTGGAAATTGAACTCAGGACCTCTGGAACAGCAGTTAGTGCTCTTAACCGCTGAGCCATCTCTCCAGCCCCCTTGAACAAACATTCTACTTATGTTTGTGTGTATATGTGTCTGATACAATGAGTCACTACTATTTTGCTCAGGCTGGTCTTGACCAGGTGGACTCAACCAATCCTCCTGTCTCATCAACCTCAGTGGTATATGCTTACCTTTTAAAACTTCCCTAACCACATACTCTTTATTAGCAGGCTATTCCAATATACTGACTGCAGTGTGTTAGTACTGTGTTCTGCTTCCATTAAAGAAGTTAGAGAATGTACATAGAAAAACCAAACACTCGAAGTGGCATAGGGGTAGAATGACATTGCAGGAACATGACAGCCACTATATTACTACCAAATGCCACAAAGGGTTTTTCATTACCTGTTGAGCTGTAGCATCCTGTTGGACATAAGCTACCTGGGCTGGATCTGTAAACAGAGTCTAGAGAAAAACAAATATATCAATAGATTAGACTGCTCACCTGCACAGGAAAAAATAACTCAGCTAAGCACCAACTCTTAGGAGAGTTATCTTATCTCACAGCTAGCAATCCTTCATTAATGCAGGAGATAAAGACAATATGCTTGCGCCTGGCTACAGCTTTTCATTCACAAGGCTCCAGAGATTGAAGAAGCAACCATCCCAAAGGCTAATAGACTTTAGTATTTTACTCTTAAGCAAAGCTCCTCTTGAGGCTGAATGTCACAGTTAATTACAAAGGCATGTCACACTAACAAAAGGACATGCCACGAACCACTTGCACATGCACCACATAGGCTGAAGTCCACTCACAGAGAGACCTGTGAGTGGTTAAAACAGATTGGGTGGTAGGAGAACACCAGAGTGTCAGGAACCCGAGTTGATAAGCTACTACAGTAGGAACTTGTGTTTATCATCAGAGAAGTAGAAAAAACATAAATTGAATGTATAGCCCGTGGATACTTTTTAAATAAAGCCAGTGGATACAATAATGACAATTAAGAAGCTTAATCATGATAAACACATAACAACTAGAAAAGGAGGATTTCCGTAAGTTACAGCTAAGACATGGTCAGTATCTCCAATCCAGAGAAAGTCACTCTGTCAAACCTTTTGAAAGACTTTGATTTGCTCAAGACTTTTGTAAACCTACGGGAATAAAAACTGGCTAAGTGTGAATTCCAGAGGAACTGGTGCAAGAAGTTGAGACTTCTTCACTTTGACATTTTTTAAAATTATGGAAATTCAGTCATTTACTTAACATTATAGTAAACTAGCACTTCCGTACAGGCCATTCTTTACACAGACTCTAATGTACTTCAATACAGTCAGAGGATAAACACTAAACCCAGGCATTCCAACAGTACCACGTGAACATTTGACAATTTCATCTCTGTATAGACTGGAAATGTATTCATGAGATGAATTTCATTTTTCCTTAGAAGTGATATGAGCCTCTTGATGAGATATTACACAAGGACAATTTTATGACAAGGATCCTACTATAAAAATACACATTTAAAAAAAAATGAGGGGCTGGAGAGATGGCTCAGTGGTCAAGAACACAGGCTGCTCTTTTAGAGTTCAATTCCCAGGACTCACATGGTGGTTCATGACCATCTATAGTGGGATCTGATACCCTCTTCTGGTGTGCAGGTGTACATGAGGATAGAGTGCTCATATACAATAAATAAAATGAATCTTCAAAAAAAAAATCCCAAACAAACAACAAATGAAGCCAGGTGTGATGGCATATGCTTTTAATCTAAGCTCTCAGAAGACAGAGGCAGGCAGATCTCTGAGAGTTCAAGGCCAGCATGATCTATATAATAGTGAGTTCCAACTCAGCCAGGGCTATGTAAAAAAAAAAAAAAAAAAAAAAAAAAAAAAAAAAAAAAACCCAAACCCTGTCTCAGAAAGAAAATCTTTTTGGGGGGCTGACACTACAGGCCACTGGTAGAGCAGGCACCTAGCATGCATAAAGGTCTGGGTTAACATGCAACACAAAATGAAGAAATAACAATAGTGCAATGTGCTGCATACTGACTATAGCCTCAGCCTTCATTAGTATGTGTGAGCATGGTTTGTGGGACCTGTGTACATATACTCTATGAAACACATGTATATATGTAACACATTATAAACACTTTGTACACTGGAAAGTGCCAAAAACATTTGTGGAATATTTTTGTCTTTTAAAAACCCCAAGTCAGTGTCAAAAACTAAAAGCTATATTGTAAAGTTTTTGTGAATATACGTCACAACTTCTATTATAGTCCGATAAACCAGTAAGTTATTAACAAACAACAGTTTAAGCTGGTAGTAGGATGCTTTCCTCACACATTTAACTAAAATGATCTGTACGCTTTCATTAAGCCAACTTTGACTTAGCTATACACTACGTAATAATATATAGAACAAATGCTTGGTTCTGGATACTCAGGAAAGGTAATAAATTGACAACCACCTCAGTGGACACTGGAGAGAAAGCCTGACATGAGACTGGGGTTCTAACTCATTTCTGCATTTAATTTAAATAAATATACCATCTCTTTCATTGCCAAATTCGTTATATACTCCTTGATAGCGTAAATCTTACCTGAATGCTTAACGAGTCAAAACATCTAGGACAACTGACCCATAGCGAACATAAGTAATTGGCATATTAATTAATAAACAAGTCAAAAACAATTCTTCACATGCCTGTGCAGCTTCCACCGGGTGGATGTACACCAGTGTGTGCTCTGGACCGTCCACTGACGTGTAGGAGGCACCATCTGCTGTATACACCACCTGCTGGGGTGGACGGACTTGGTCGTCAGTGTATACAATCTGAGCCACAGTTCCGGCATCCGGAACAAAGTGCACCTGGGGAAAAAGCAGTCAAGTATGTAGCATCTGTCTTTATAAAGCAAAATCAAACTCACAAAGGCATGGGGCCAACCAAGCACAGCTGAGCTGAAACACCCCTAACACAAAGAAAAGAAGCCCAATGTGCCTTCATCCATGCTGAGCTAGAGCCCAGAAGGCAGGATGCACGGACCTTGTTGGTAATTTACTGCTCAATGTCAGAGAGCTAACTTGAATTCTTTTGCCTTAAAAATCCAATGCAAATAGATAACTTCTGGTGACTCACAAGGGGCGATTAATTGATCCTGGAAAAGCAACCATAGATTCCTGCATGACAACACTGTTAAAATACAAAACACACATTGCTTTGTGATGTAGGCCTAACAGCAATTGCTTTTGACACATCATAAAAATTCTATTTTATAATGAATACTACTTTTCTGCAGACACATTAAAATAAGGTCACTTTCACTCCAGCATGCTGTTTTATATGTGAAGGATATACTGCATGGAGCAAATCAAGAAATGTCACTGAGTCACTGGATGTGGTGCAACTCCTCCTCAATAGCTAAGTAAAGAAGCAGAAAACCTTAACGAAGTACTTTTAAGTGGTTCTGGTCAAGTAATTCAGCTGTCTGTGGCAAGTATTTGTTTGTGACCTAAGACAACTCAAAGAACTGAATTGTATAAAGTCCTCCCCAACTGGTTGGCAATAAAAGACTGACTCTGTGGAGGCCCTAGCATGGCATATAAGGAATGTCTACAGGTGGATAACCACAGCACACATCTGGGGCAGAAATAATTGATGTACTGACATCCTGGATTGGCATCCTTACTCTTACTGACTTGCTACTAGTCCTAATGTTTCTATGGCAGTTTTCTCCAGTAGGAAATAATAGATTTCACAGATGACACATACACTAACTTAATGCCCAGAAAGAATGCTAGAGGCCAAATGTAATTGGGCACCACAGGAATACAACAGATTTCCTGCTAAGTGATTAGTCTGTCTTCAATATACTTTCAATTTACGCCTGAAGATACAGCGTACACATGGGAGAAATTAGGCTCACAGCGCATCTCCATGGCTTTTACTGCCATAAGGTAATCTTGTGACTTCAGATTTATAACTTACAGTTTTCAACTTTCTCATTCATATCAAAGCTTTAAAATGGAAGACAGACATTTTTCTCAAAAGGAAGAAAGAAGCCGGGTTGTAGTGGCGCACACCTTTGATCCTAGCACTTGGGAGGCAGAGGCAGACGGATTTCTGAGTTCGAGGCCAGCCTGATCTACAGAGTGAGTTCCAGGACAGCCAGGACTACACAGAGAAACCCTGTCTCGAAAAAACAAAAACAAAAACAAAAAAAAAAAAAATGAAGAGAGAGATAGAGAGAGAGAGAGAGAGAGAGAGAAGGCTAGGCTAAGGTTTTCTACTTTTTTTTTCTCACTCAGTCTATAATTAGAATTTGCAGAACTTAGGAGCAGAAAAGACTGGAAATAAAGAATACAGGGGGGATCCTGACTGCAGATTCCTACAGACAGGGACCCTGATCAAATACAGAACCTTACAAAAACATTTTCTTTTGTCTCCTCCCCCACCCCTTCTCTCTCTTTTTCAAAGTCTTACTATGTAGCCCTGACTGCTTGGAACTTACTAAGTAAACCAGTCTGTCTTTGAACTCATGGAGATCCACTGCTCCACTCCTCAGCTTCTTTCCTACTTTTGGATAAATGCACTATATAAATTAATGAAAGTAGTCATCAAAACAGTTTCCAGGAGAAACACAGTGCTCCCAGTTATTCTACTGAAAACATCTCTGGAATCACTTTCTCTAAATTTTAGACTGTAGCCTCTAAATCATATTATATAATCATGATTACTTACTACAATGTTGATTATTTCTTAAATTAAGTAATATTTGCACACTTAAATCTTTCAAGGTTAACTTTCTGATTTGACAATGGCACTATGGTTATACAATTTAGTGAAAAACTGGATCAAAACCTCCTGCTTTTCATATTGTTTAAAACTGAGTTTATGGGCCTAGGTTGCCTCCTGTTATCACTTGGAAAGCAGAAACAGGCAGATCTCTATGAGTTCGAGCCAGTATAGACTATATAGAGAGTTCCAGGCTAGATAAGACTATGTCTTAAAAGAGAAGATAAGTTGCTTACTTTACAAACATGCCTTAGGTTTCATTACTCATGGAGAACTGAAACCCTACACTGGCTAAGGTAAAGGTAGCCAGCAAAAGCAGCCAGCAAAGGTTTTCAGCATCAATACCACAGATAAGGAGGGTAGTAAAGCAGCATCTACCAGCAAGGTGCAGAAGTGAGGCCTGCGGGGTAGATGAGCTCTACCTCACAAGAAAGCGTCTCAATGAAGCTAAGTGCTAATGCATTCCTGCTTCTACAAGCAAGTTCTCACATCCACTCCCTCCCAGCCAGAGATACTGCTATGTCTTAGCTGTCAACATCTACCCAACTGAAACACTGCTGCCAACAGTGAGCTGGAAGAGGTCGTCCTTCACCTGTGCAGTGTTCTGCTCATGGTCTGCAGACGTTGGCCACACATGAGCGCTTTCATCTTTGGGATCCATCTTCTCCTTGTTGAGCAGCTCCAAGTCTGGACCACCTACAGCAGCAGCACAGGACAGAGAACACTCATCGGTCTTGTATGTTCTGTACACATGTGCTCATGGAGGGCAGGAAGGTCTCCGCAGCACCCTGAGCAAAACAGGAAAGGGACCAAGCTTTAAGTGGATGGCTGTTTTAAAAAATTAGTTTCAACCACAAAGGGGAAAAGGTTTTGTTAAAAGATAACATATCTCAGCAAAGGGTAAGAATAATGTATTATTTGTGGCAATAATATAATATATTGCATACCTGCTATATTTTGGACAATCATTAGATGTATGTATATACATGAAAACTATATATAGAATGCAAGCCTCATTAAAAATATTGAAGGCAATCAGCTCTTTTGAAAAAATTAGGAAAAAAAAGAAAAAAATTATTTTCCTGTGTATTAGCTATAGGTAAATGACAAATTTACGCTCTAATCTGATTGATATGTACTCCAAATTTTTTGTTGTTGTTCTTGTTGTTGTTTTGGCTTTTTGTTTTTTTTTTTGTTTGGGTTTTGGGTTTTTTTGTTTTTTGTTTTGTTTTGTTTTTTCGAGACAGGATTTCTCTGTGTAGCCCTGGCTGTCCTGGAACTCACTCTGTAGACCAGGCTGGCCTCGAACTCAGAAATCCGCCTGCTTCTGCCTCCGAGTGCTGGGATTAAAGGCGTGTGCCACCACCGCCCGGCTGTTTGTTTTGTTTTTTATTTTTGTTTTTTTGTTTTTTTGAGACATGGTTTCTCTGTGTATCCTTCCCTGGCTGTCCTGGAACTTACTCAGTAGACCAGGCTAGTCTGAAACTCAGATCCACTTGCTTCTGCCTCCTGAGTGCTGGGATTAAAACGTGTGCCACCACCACCAGGCTAGTCCAGATATGACCTCATGCACACTCCCATTTCTACTCAAAATGAAGAGAATAATAAAAATGGCAAAACAAGGGATAAAGTGCTCATGAAAGAAACTGAACTTCTCAGCTCACAATCAAGCGTCCGTTCTTCCGGGTCAGTGCAGGAGTGAACAGTGAACAGTCAAACTTTTCCAAACACTAACACACGAAGTCTGTGCTTTGTAAGATAAGGCTCTTTTTTAACTATTTATTTATTTTATGTGAGTACATTATTGCGCTCCTCAGACACACCAAAAGAGGGCATCAGATCCAATTACAGATGGTTATGAGCCACTATGTGGTTGCTGGGAACTGAACACAGAACTTACAGAAGAGCAGTCAGTGCTCTTAACCTCTGAGCCATCTCTCCAGCCCAAGATAAGACTCTTTAGAAGTTTATTTTTATCTTTTGGGCAGGAAAGGGTTCAAGACAGGATTTCTCTGTGTAGCCCTTGCTACCCTGAAACTCACTCTATGGATCAGACTGACCTCAGAAATACACCTGTTCTCTTCCTCCCAAGTGCTGGGATTAAAGACATGTGCCACCACCGGCTTTAAAAGCTTGTTTTTGGCTGGGCGGTGGTGGCGCACGCCTTTAATCCCAGCACTTGGGAGGCAGAGGCAGGCGGATTTCTGCATTCGAGAGTTTGAGGCTAGCCTGGTCTACAGAGTGAGTTCCAGGACAGCCAGGGCTACACAGAGAAACCCTGTCTCGAAAAACCAAACCAAAAAAAAAGCTTATTTTTAGGGGCTAGAGAGATGGCTTAGTGGTTAAGAGCACTAGCTGCTCTTTCAGAGGTCCTAGGTTCACTTCCCAGCACCCATATGGCAGCTCACAACTGCCTGTAACTCCAAGTCAAGAGGATCCCCAACACGTCAGAAAGACAGACATGCAGTCAAAACACCAATGCACATGACATGAAAATAAAAAAAAATTTAAAAACAACTTATTTTTAAAAAGATTTACTCATTTGTATGTGTGATTGTTTGCCTGTATGTATACTACATGTGTGCCTAGTACCTTAGGAGGCCAGAAGTGGCCATTATAGTCCCTAAAATTGAAGTTACAGATAGTTGTGAGCCACTATAGGTGCTGGGAACTGAACACAGGTGTCCTCTGCAAGAGCAGTAAGTGATCTTAACCACGAATCCATCTCTCCAGCCCAGGAAGACAGACTCTTTTTAAGGTGGTGTTCTTCCCTTTTGATGAGAAACATAAAACACTGGCATCCCACAACATCACACGACATTCATCATGCTTGATCCACTTCTAGTCACTTCCACCAAAGTAGACAAGGGAAGGTAGCAGTCAGACAGGAAAGACTGCTGGCCAGCATCTACCAGCGTCTTCTCTGTTATTAATAAAAATATGATGAGAGGCATGCTCCTATATCACACATACTCCAATGTCTAAATAAAAAAAAAATCCAGTGAAGAATACCATAATGGCCTGTACCTAACTTGGACTCAAGAACTGTCATGTGCAAACTACACAGAAGCCACCTTCATGAAAACCTGTGAATAGCCTGTTTCTGCCCTCCTCACCCCTGCCTCACACTGCCTCCTCCATATTCAGTGGTACCCGAAATACTGGAAATGGCAAAGTGGCTAGAGTCTTCAAACACCCCAAAACCCATGTAAAATCCAGGCCCAGGTGGTGGAAGCCTGCCTTCTCAGCATGTGGAAATTAGAGACAGGAGCCATACTCCAGCCTTCATGTTTACACAGCAAGCGTTTCCACTGCACCACCATGCCTGGAATCACACTTTTCTCTTCTCATCTCGACCATTTTAGAGTAAGTTACAAACACTGCTTCTTTGCCTTTTTAAAAAATGGGGCCTTGCTATTACCGAGACTAAGGTAGGTGGTACCAGTATATGGCTTTGATCGCAGCACTTAGAAAGGCAAAGGCAGGCAAAACTCTGAGTTTGAGGCCAGTCTGGTCTAGAAATTGGGTTCCAGGACAGCCAGAGCTATTCCACAGAGAAACCTTGTCTAGGAAAAAAAATTATCCAGGATTTATCTTAAAATCCTAGGGCTCACATGGTCCTCTTATATTGGTTTCATGATCCTTTTTTTTTGTGTTTGTTTTTGGTTTTGTTTTTGTTTTATCAAGACAGGGTTTCTCTGCGTAGCCCTGGCTGTCCTGGAACTCACTCTGTAAACCAGGCTGGCCTCAAACTCAGAAATCTGCCTGCCTCTGCCTCCCAAGTGCTGGGATTAAAGGCGTGCGCCACCACTGCCCGGTACTGGTTTCATGAAATGACTAGAATTACAGGTGCTCCGTCATCCACCCTTCCTCCACATTCCTAAGTTAACTAGTTCCTAAAACTTAGAACACTGTCTTAGAGGCACAAGACCATAGTAAAAATCCCATAGTCAAAATCATGCAGGTGAGACTGGAGCAGCAATTCTACTTTGCTCACATACTTCCTAGGATTTCATCAACTGTTGATTTCACTGTCCTTAACAGCCAAAGGGACAACAGTTTTCTCCCTGGCTCTGATGAAATCTGGCATCAAACGCTGCTCACTGTGTGTGCTCACTGCCATGTCCCCCTGTCTACTTCACTCCATCAGCTTCCTGTTCTTGGTCTTCAGTGACCTTGACACTTTTGACACATAAAGAATGGTCTTCAGTTTATCAGATGTTTCCCTGAGATTAGATTCGAGATACATATGTTTAGCAAAAGTATCACAAAAGATATGCAGTAGTACCCTTCTCATACAAGAATTAGAGAATCTTTTTGTACTCAGATGCTACTAGCCATGGTAGTACTTGGACCAAGCAGTTATACTGATGTCCTTGCAGACTATACACAACCCCACATGCCTCTTCTTAGTTTTAATTTATAAAAAAGTGTTTTGTACTTTGAGGGAAAGGTGGAACCCAGGACCTCACAGACGATAAGCAAGCAATTTACACTGAGCCCAGCCTGTTTTATTTCTTTCATTTATTTCTAGCTTAATAAGTATTAAATAAAATTACCTGAAAAATAAGGGTACAAGCAGATACAGTGGACAGTCACCCTCCCCAGAGTCTCTTAGCCATTCTTCAGGAACAATTCCTAGAATCCGTTTCATGTTTTTCCTTCCAAAGGCATTTTATTCACATACAAGCAAATATATTTACAATATATTTCTATCCCTCCAACTGCAAACAAATTATTGATTCCTTACAAGATAACAATTCTTCTACAGGTGTTTGTTCTATGTATCAATCTATTTTGTACACTGTTCCATCCACATATATTTCTTCATTTTTTATTCCAGCTGCATAATTTCTTTGTATGAATATATTGTAATTTATTCAACCACCCTCATGTTGATAAATGTCTAGGTTTTGAGACCTGTGACATAGTTCAGTCCATAGAGTACTTACCTTGTAAACACAAAGCCAAGGTTCAACCCCTAGAAACAATATAAGGAGCCAGTGTTGTAGTTGGTAAGTTCTAGGCCAGTGAAAGACTAGAGTTGGGTAGTCAGTTTCTGGGGACTGAGTCCTGAGGCTGCCCTAGCCTCCACAAGTAAGTACACATCTATACATCCCCATACATATCAACCCTCACACACAAATGAATACTGGGAAGGCCATACATTGCCCACCTGGCCATTTAGGTCTGCTTTGATCTTTTACCATGTCATGATGGCAATTAACTGGACATATTCTGGGGTTATGCAGGTTAGTGTCTCTTATTCTTTTTTCCAAGAAGATACTGCAGCAGTTGAAGTGCTGTGTACAATGAGACCATTATTAGTTTCTGAAAAACACTGGTCCTCACGTAACCTGCACCCAATGCTCTGAGCACACCTGAGGCATAGAGCCCAAGAGTATTAACACGCACCTGAGAAGGCCTCAGCTGAGAGAAGCGTGGGAAGGGTGTGGGCTCCTGGCCTGGGTTTTAGTAGCAAGTTAGCTAACCTTGAGCAATTCTCAAAAGGTCTCTTTCTCCATTTTCTCTGTAAAATGGAGGCCTTGTGATTACTGACAGATGACATAAAGCAGTGGGTAAAAAGTGCTTTAGCATAAGGTTGGCTACAAATAAGCAATCACTTTTCGTAAGTTATCCAATCGTGTTCCAGTCTCCTTCCTGCTTGTCTTAAGCCTCTAGTTCCTTAGAGACAAGGAGTATGCTTTGTTAACTGCTGACATGAGGAAGGACTTGGGTGATTTTTCTTGGGGGCAGAGGAGAGGATGTCTAACCCAGGTGTGCTGAG